ATCACTTGGGAATTTCTCCAGGGGATTCGCAGGAAGCCAGATGCTGCCATACGGACAACCATCAACGGATTCTGCGGACCCGTATTAAAAACAATTGATTGACGACGACTCGTGCGTAAATAAACAGCTTCCAGTGAAAAATTATGAAGAGTTGGCCGTAAACAATTCGAAACTGAGCGGATCGGATCGGAACGGAAAGGACTTAAACTAATCGAGGCGGATCACTTTGGCGCCAGCTAGGGATGTACACTCAACCAACGAAAAAAACCAATAAAGTATTAAACCTAACAGGTATTTTAGGAAATAATTATTTTGCATGTATATTTTCTTTAATTTAAAAAAAAGGGTTTAGTAAGTGTAGTACATTTAATTTGTTGTTATAAATTAATTTGAAATATATCAATCAAAAATATCCTAATACATATCTAAACTATGAATTATAGGCATATGAGATATATGTTTAAAAACTTTTATAGAACTAAAACTAGTTATTTCTATTTTCTAATCTAGTCTTAACCCTTTAAATGCAGTCTTAATTTCGTTTTCATTGTTATATTCCCGGGGTTAATGTATTTCCCATAATATTTGAGAGATTCGTGTAAATTTTTTTGGCATTTGCCTAATGTGGAATTCATGGAAATGGTTGAGTGTACGCCCGGGCGGTTTGTTCCCTCTGGTTGTGAATGGAATCTAGAAGTGACTCACGCGCATGACGTTGGTGGCGTCGCGAAGTGGCGGCGGCTTGCTGAAGTCCATCTGCTGCACTGCATCGGGATCGCTGAGGGAGCGGCGCAGCGTGGTCACCGAGGCGCGCTTGGAGTGGAAGGAGCCGCGCAGGAAGCGGGCGAACTCGCAGGCGGCGTTCCTGCCGGCCCGACAGACCGCCCGCGGGGGCGTGACCTTGAAGCTGGGCAGGAGCGGAGCGTGCATCTCGAAGGAGGAGTCCGGCGAGAGGTTGCGGCTGTTGGAGCTGCCCCCCGACTGGGAGGTCAGGTTGGAGCTGGCCGAGCTGATGCCGTCGTCGTGCTCCTCCTCGTCCTCGGAGCTGGTGGGGATTTCCCCGGAGGCAGCACCCGCCTGCCGAAGAGGGCGGCAGCCCAGCTGCTCCTCCTGATCCCGGGTCACGCGGATTAGCACCGGGGAATCGGCTCGGATCTCCTCCGGCTCCGGTTCGCTGAGCTTCCGGCTGCCACTCCGCCTCTTGGTGGCCGAGCTGAAGAACTGCAGCACGCGGGAGGCGCTGCGACAGCTCCTTCTTTCGGCCTGGACTCGTGCCATGGCCATTGGAGGCGGCATCAGGTCCTCCGCCTCGGCACACCTCCTGGGCAGCGGCTGCTGCTCCTCCTGGCCCTCCTCCTCCTTCACCAACTCAGGCAGGACATTTATCTGCGGCGAGGCACTGCGTCTGCCACCAGCGCTCTGGCAGAACTCCCTGGCCTTGCGGCAAAGGAAGGGAGAACTGATCTTGGGCTTGGCCTTCGGAGTGCTGGCCTGCCGCTCCTCGAAGTCCTGCACGAAGCGGGCCAGCTGCTCGCGGTCCAGCTCCGTGAGGCAGCGGTGTCGCACGTGCTTGGGCGTGGAGCCCGCCGAGGAGCCCGGGTGGATCCGCTTGATCTCGAAGCTGCTGTCGAAGGTTCCGGAGTCATTCAGCTGGCTCAGCGACTGGACGAAGCGCTCCACCATGCCGGCGATGCCCTCGGGGTTCTTAGCGATGGGTATTCTGGAGCCACTTCCTCGGGAAGTGGAACTGTTCATGTCGCGCACTGCCTAGATGGGTGCAATTCAACTTGATTATTACGTGCTGTTCGGAGCACTGAGCAATTAAAACGCAAAGTTTCTGCGAGGGAGAGCGGACTCCCAAAGTGTTTTGGCCACGTTCACGCTGCGCGACTGTTCGCGTTCGACTGAATTTCCCCGTCGGATTGGCCGGCCAAAGGTAAACTTTTCCTGCGAGTGGGGAAAAGCTATGCAAATTCGAGAACGTGTGTCTCTGGGACGCCTGCGCCCCAGACTTCTTTCGCCGCTGAGTGAGCACTTTGTATGGACTCCCCAGTGCTAAGTGCTTTCCTCAGAAGTGCGATTCGCACACGGAATACCTAAAGAGCGACGGAAATTGTCACCTGTCTGCGGGTTCAGTACGTCCAGTGGTGCGTCATCGAATGTGGCCCATAAGGAGATGCCAACGGCAACGGGTTTACGCAATCGGAGAGTGTGGGATCAAATGGGTTCGTGTGGAAAGCAAAGCCCGTAATCCAAACAAAAGAAATGGCTAAATTATGCTTATGGCTTATGGCTCGAGTATATAGAACACCACTAATGGGGCGCCCGTAAAAAGAGTTCTTTACTTGCTATCTTGCATCTGGCGTTACCCCGTCTAAAGTCAACAACAAACCTTCTTATCAATATTTGGGTATCAAAAATAGCTTCGGAATTCCCGTGTAAACAGCACGAAGAAAAGTGTGACTGCGCAATATGAGCCAAGAACTTAATAGCTTCGACCCAATTGGAGGGAATATATGTATCAGCACAAGACATCCGAGAATCGTGACCACTCATGGGTGTCTTATCGTTCTGAGGGTCCTAAGGGTACATGCAACCCAGATTTAGGTGGAACCCAGTCACTTAAAATCCCTCGCGTCACAATGAGGTTGTGAATAATGATGTTTGAATAGAAATCATGAACTAATAATTTCATTTGCTCATGCTAATGCAAATGCTGATGGGTCATACAATACTTGCTAAATACTTAAGCATTTTGTATAAGAAATTATTAATAATTATTTTCCTTATCTATAAATCAAGACTTTAGTTCTCGACTGATGACTTTGTATTCATAAAATATTTGAAATTAACAATGAAAGCTTTATTGCCCTGACTAAAATTCTATGTTATCGCGGTTTTTTCTAGATTATAGTTGTTATGAAAAACATTCTCCCTGTAAATTAACGTGTGACTAACTGGAAATGAATGGATTCAGTAAGCTTCAATGACGACAATAGATCAAAGCGATTTCTCGAACTGCGTCTCATTGTTTTCGCCACGAATTGTGACATCATTAGGAGATCGAATGAGGCGAGATGGTAATACTTCCCCCAGGAAAGTGATTGAATGGGGCGTCTTTTGGCGAAATTCGGGGAAATTCCACAGGAATCACGGCCTCTGTAATAAATCTGCGGAGCTGTCTGGAGCGATTCCGTTGAATAGGTCAGAATCGGAATATCGGCCCCATCGACTATTTTTGGCCTTTAAGTGGAAGCAACAAGACAGCGATCTGCTTGATTTTTCTTTGCTCGATTTTTAAGTGGAATCATTTTTGGCGTGAATTACTGGGTTCGTTTACACCAAAAGCAAATAAATAAGACACTCGTGGGTTGTTTTCAATGGGAAAATCGCGGGGAACAGTCAAGCGGCCGGCCATTAATTCTGAATAAAACTTTGCGTTTTTATTGCACAGTTGGTATTTGGAATTTGCTTGGTAATAAGGGTTTTTTTTTAATTTCTTGAAGTGTTCGAGGAAAAGTTTATAAAAACATTTACGCACACCCACTCGCTATTAATTATCAAATTTGTCTTGCAGGAAATTCCGCACAATCATATTTTTTAGTATTTTAAGTCGCTAGCGGTTTGCGGGCGATTCGTGGGCGGTTTTCGGGGTTTCACTCGGTTTTTAGATATGACGTCGATTGGGATTTCATTTGTTTGATTATTCCCCATATCAAGGCAATAAAACGGAATGTTTTCACAGCGTGTGATTTTGTACAATGGAATTTGCTCAGTTTATGAAACGAAGAAAACATTTCCATGGCATTTTTTCATTAATTTGTATATTATTTAGCACATTCTATTTTCGGGGGCAAAAACACTGAAAACAGGCCACAAAAGTTCAATTGACTGGCTGTTTTTATTTATCCAGGCAATGTTTGATGCGAGTGCCAGATATTTTTCGGGGGCGATGATGGATTTCTGAACGTACACTATCGGTTTTTGGGTCCAAGGTAAATGGAACAGCTAAATTTGCTTGACACGCAATTTTTCCATTGATTAAATAAAATAATAATTTTTTAGGAACATACACTAAGGGCTTTAAAATTGATTTTAGTTGTAATAACGTTTTAAATTACGTTGTGATCGAATGAACTGCGCTCGATGACTGACTCAGAGTTTGTGAACGACGTTCGGCGTTTAGGTCGCTGTCAACCTGGCTCAAACGGAAAGCAACAACACGTTGCCCATGGCAATAAGCAGCTGAAACAGCAACAACGCAGCTGTTGAGGCAGTGCAAAAGGAGCGAGCGAGAAGAGAAGAGCGCGTGCGCGCGTTTTCGATCGCGGGGCGGTTTACAAGCGGTTTCGCCCGCTTTCGCCGTTCTAGCTCTTTGTTGTTGTAGTTGTCGCTCGGTTAGTCACTAAAACCTGAACATAAAGAGACACATCGGGGTGGAAAACGAAGAGCAGAGTCAGGTGTTTCCCTGGCACTTGCTGAATGCATTTTTTTAAAACTGCAGTCAATTTTATAACGATTATATACTCTGTAATGTGATTGGCCTAACCTAAAAATTAAACCTTTAGGAGTAACCTGTAATACTATTAGCGATGGAAATGAATCAGACGATGCTAAAAGCCTATCCCAAAGGTTTTCATTGATTCAAATAAGTTAGTAAGGCTCTAATGATTATAATTAAAAGTTTACGACGTCATAAAATACGAAGAGAAGTGCTGAGGAATACTGAAAAAGATATTCCCCTTCGACTGGAAATTTTCCAAGTTTTAAGTACTTTTCATTTTTAATAACACATTTTTAAAATTGTTTTAAATTACAACACGTTTAGAGAAAGGTGGCATGTGATTGATCAAGCTTTATTTGCTTTCTTGTTTGCCTTCTTAATAGTATTTCAAGTAGAAATACCCCTTAACTGATTTCCTCTGCTCACTCCACCATAAGATAAATTGACTTCAGACGGAACACATCCGTAGCGTATCATCCGATCGCCTACGGCCCTTTTCGCCTGGGTTTTTCAGACAACTGCTTTGGGTCATATCAATTGGCGGGTTACGTGCCTGGAGCGCAAGGTGTTTATTATTAGCAGCGTTTCAGCATTTCTGACGTACTTCGGACAGCCCATTCAGTGCGCGCTCCCATTTCTGCGGCTATCAAAACATGGAAGCCAACAACGATCGCAAACAGACGGTTATGTTGGATCAGCTAAATATAATGCACTTTAAAAATAAACATTTTGTTTGTCATTTGCCCATTTGTGTTTGGCCTTTGGCATTTTTGGCTGAGTGCCAGGCGTACTGATAACAGCGATGATTGTGGCACACAACTTTAGACAATTATTTCAAGCGTAAATTAACGTCTGACGTATCTGATAGATACATTTGGCCAGCCAGCTCAGAGGTTTTCCATTCCCACAGCGTCAGCTGGCAAATACGTTACACGTTTTTTGGCCATGGTAATAGAAGTCGCATTCAGAGGCCGATTCGTGGCTAACCACTGCACAAAACTTGAGTAACCTACGAAGTCGTACCGAAATCAACCTGCCAGATAGCTAAACCCAAGAGTTTGGCTCGAACTCATTTCCCATGACGATCCGATCCGTTGGCCAGGAAGGAAGCTACGTAACGTTCATTTAGCAGGCTGCCCCTGGTTCCTTGTTTTACCTATGTACTTCCCTTTGGCACGAGGGTTGTTTTCCTTTGCACCTGTGACGGCATGTGCTGCTCCACCTTTTCAAAGGAAAACGAGGCAGGTTACCGCCAAAATGCCGTCAGACCAGAGTCAACCTGTTGGAACAGCCGGCCAACTAACTATGTATGTCCCCGATTGCGTGTTTATGTGGCCCAAATTAAGTCGAGTCACCCAAGTGATATAAGGTCGAAGGTGCACTTGACATGCTTACTCATTAGTCCCCTGCTGGTTATCTTTCTGGAAATCTTTAAAACTGCGCAAGCTTAGAAAACATTTGCGAAGTTGCTGCAACTTAGTTAACCCAGTTTATCTATGTAAGCATCCCAAGGTACCCCAATAAACACCACTTATTTATCAGACAAATAAATGATTGATCGGTTTATAGGTGATTTATCAGTGTTCTATTTGATGTTAATAGATGTTAGTTTGATAATAGAAAAACATATATACATTAAGGATATGTTTAATCAAGAGAATTCGACATTTAATATTGCCAAATGACAGAAAAAACAGATAAGGTAAAATATTAACCCAAAATGTGTATTCTCCTGAAACCTTAAAAAAGGTCCAGTCACAATGCACTTTCTTAAGCAAACCTAACAAACAATGAAATCAAAAGCCAGTGCAATTAACAATTTACCAGGTGTCACAGATATAGGGATCAGCAAACAAAGAAAGCACACCGTTTGCTGATTGCGACCATGAGAAAAGAAATAGAGCGTTCTATCAAGGTGTAGGAACGTGCTGAAGTAGGCAAACAAAATAAAGTCCCCGGCGAAATTCAACAGAGATTACTAATTCAAACTCTAGCTCTAGTAATTTTTATACCGAAAGCGGATAGTGAGTTTTATGATAGTAGGGTGAATCGGAAAGAAGTCAGCCAAGCATTAAGCTAAACAAATAGTGTAATAGAAACGGAAACAAAATGTGAGTAATGCAAATTATTCCACGAAGAGGACTCCAAACCTCTCCCAAATTAGAGGTAGGTTTCCCAACCGCTTGACGAGTTGGTTTTAGGGGGAGTCATCGATCAAGTGTGAGTCGATAAGTGTGAGATTTATCCACATGTTGGTAGCTTACCTCGTTCTCCTCGGAGTACAGACCACAAACGAGTTCTCGAAATGACATTTTCGCATCGAGATGCCTTTTGTTTGCCTGCATTAAACAATTGAACTTGCAATTTGTACACCTTTTTCTCTTGTTTTATCGTAATGACAATTTATTTATATTTATTTCAGTCACAACTGCTGACGGGGCTCCTTGAACTGGCGTTGAACTTTTTATGGAGCAACTTTTCGCGACGGTAATTTTATTTATTTTTAATATGCACATATCAAGCAAAACAAACAATCGAAGGAACGGCGACGAAAGTGAAACTGCCGCAACGTACGACCAAATCGCACAAGATCTTTTTCAAAATCGCGTGTTGTCGAATCGAAAATCAAACTAAATTACGAATAACCGTCGGAAATTGGAGGAATTGTGGGGCGGCCGGAGGAGCGGAAAGGTCAGCCGACGTGGACGCCATTAATTGCTTTAGATTGAATTAAGTCCGCGGCAGAGGAATCAGCACAGCAGCTCGCTTGGAGCTCTCTATTCCGCTCGGCTTCAGTCGTGACCTACGCCCATGACGTCATTGGATCGAATCACTTTATTTTTAGCCGGCTATTTCCGCCCTTATCACCCATGAGCGGTCGGTCCCCCAGATCCCGATAATTCCGATCGAGTTCGAAGCGACAGTGTAACGGAGCGGCCGTAAATCGTAAGTAGACCGCAGACTTCTGAATCGGATAGCGGATAGCGGAACCGTGGCCACCTATTGCCAAAGCCCCAGTGTGACTACTGAAAGTCCGGGTGGAATGACAAAGGAACCGTCGGCATGTGGTCACCTGAACAGAACAGAGAGTTTCGGAGAGTTCTGGCCCCTTATCTGGGGGCCCAGCGCAAGAGAGGAGTGCGGAGCGATAAGCTCCGAGAACGCAGGTAACTTGGAGCGGCGACCAGGTAAACTGATTTTGCCGCGCACAGGAGCGGTTTGCAAGTGGCAAGGGTTTCGAAGAAGGTTAAATATCCCGCAAATATAATTTCCTATACTTTCTAGTCCCTTTCTGATAATAATTTAACTATAAAAAGAAATATTATTACTTATACGTTCTAGTCCCTTTCTAATAATCCGACACTATGTAATATTACAGCTTAAAGTTGGGACCAAAAAATTTCAATTTTAAATTTTGAAAAGTGGAATGGTTTGACCCCTGTTGACCACGTCTGCCCACCTTTTAGTTTAATATTACGATCCTTATACATAAAATTAATTTACTTTTAAGAAAACAATCGTTCCACTCACCCCGAGATCAGGTTCGCTGTTTGTAGCTTCTAAAAGGCAGTGCGAGGAGGACGAGGCCGACAGGCTGGTCCGATCCTTGTGTGATTTGTGTAGATTCTGCAGGCTGGCCCACGTGTCCATGGGCTGGTCGATGCATGCGCCTCCGACCGACGACTGGATGCTGTCGATAGCCTCGAATCCCAGCGAGTGTCGCGAGCCGGGCTGACCAAACACCTGCGCGCTCAGTTTGTGGGGCGTTGTTGACGGCTCCAGGACCAGAGATCTGCGCAATTTGCGCGGCACACACGATGGGTGGACGAAGGGGTGGCCATCATCCAAAGACGGAGCGGCCGAGTGCAGCGAGATGTCGTCCATGGAGGCCACTCCTGCCAGAGCCCGCGGCGAATCGTCCGCAAAGAGGTTCAGGACATCGTCGCAGGAGCGGGTCGACGTGAGATTCGTGGCAGGGCTTTTGATCAGGTTGAAGCTGGCCAGGAGATTGGGTCGTCGCAGCAAAGAGTTCTCAGGCGGCGACTTCAGCAGGGCGGAATGATCGGGCATGGCCCGCACAGTCAGTCGGTTGTCGGGGATGCCCACAATGCCCAGGGGACGCGCTGGAGCCTGGTGAGTCGGTGGCCCGGCAAGAGCAGCTCCAGCTCCGGCGCCCAGGAAATCCACCACCAAAATGCGATCCGAAATATTCGTGCAGTCGTTGTTGAAGCCAATGCCCGAGTCCGAGTTGGAGGTGGTGGTGGAGATCTCGCTGTGGTTCGATGGTTGCGGCGAGTGGGCTGCTCCTGCTCCTCCAGCTCCTGCATTGGGTGCACCCGCTTCGAAGTCCGCCTGATTGCTCCGACTGGCCGGCGGCAGAATTCGCATGGTGTACATGCTGCGCACCAGATTCACCACATACTCCGAGTTGTTGGGGAACTCGAGGCACAAATTGGAGATAGGATCCCGGGTGCATTGCAGCCGGAACTCGTGGGCCCGCTGCAAGTGCTGGGCATGCTCGATCAGCTTGGTGTCGATCACGAACACATGGCAGCTGTGCGAGATGCTGATGTGGCCAGCAGCTGCCCCGCTGCCAACACTCGGCTCGAACTCCTCCTCGATTTGGGTGTTGTGCACGGCGCTGGTAACCAGACCGAAGAAGCGGTTCTCGCTTTCCGATGAGGAGCTCACGTAGTTCAGTCGCGCCGAAGAGTAGGTGGCAAGCACTCCGCCACCGGAGCTCTGTAGGCTCAAACTGTCCGGGGTGATGCACATCAGCACAATGGTCGGCTGTCGCTTCTCCTGGCGCAGCTTGCGGATGCAAGAACGCACCGTCTGCAGCTTGGAGCTGTGGGAAATCTGCTTGGGCATCTCAATGGTTCCCAGGTAACCTACGATTACGCGGTACTCTAGGGCAGCACTTCCTACAGCTCGCACCATGGCACTGACATTGGCCACGTCCGGTGCCTTGGACAGATTGGCCGCCAAGGGAGCATCCTCGAGCACGGGTCTTAGCGTTGGGTGATCGGGAGACGCCTTGGAGCTCTGCGGCTCAACAGCCTCTGGTGGGGTTAACTTCTTCTGCGGCGAGTTCCTTAGTCTGTGGAGCTTAGCCTTGTGGTGGAGAAACCTCGGCTTGTGCCTTAAACTGGCGGCCAGGAGTTGACCCCGCAGCGTGGCATGGGCGTTTTCCTCGTCCGAACTATCCGAGTAGTAGTTCTCGGCGATCTGCATGCGAATGCTGCCGAAGGAGTTGCCTATTAACTGGACCACGGTTTCGTGCGGCAATTTGGAGACGTTCAAGCCATTCACGGAGATGAGGAAATCCCCGGAACGTAGTCCGGCCTGCTCGGCGGGGGAATTGCTGATGATGCAAGATAGCCGACAAGGCTGTTGGCCCGAGATGGTGAAACCGAAGCCGTTGTAACCTCGCCGCACTTCCACGGTGCGGATGCCATTGTAGTTGTAACTGGGTCGCTTTTTGCGACGTCGCTGGTGTTGTTGGGTATTGGAACCCGAGGGCGTGGATGCAGTGGCCAGGGTAGCAGGGCCAGTGGCAACAGCGGGCGATGCATCTTCCTGTGGAGTTCCTCCTGCTCCCGCTGCACTGGACCCACTTGCTCCCGTTATGGGCAACGGCGGATGATGGTGGTGCATGGCTCTCACTAGGCGGAAAACGAACAATGAACTTCTAATGATAATCTTAACCCACATCTGGACATACGCACCTTTCTCATGGAATCTGCAACCTGGATTTCTGGAAATGGAATGCGGTTTCTGTCGCTGCCCCTTTTCGGAGGTCGCCCTTCTCGCTCGCACCTGTGCGTCGCCTAAGCCAACTATGTAATCAATGGCGCACACACACACGCACAAGCTGCCAGGCGTATTTTGTTGCACTTTTCTAGGCCTCTAGTTACTCATTCTAAAACTAGTCTTTGAGGAAAAGACCATTTCCACGCAGTTAAAAACTTAAATTAAGCTTTCTCAGGTCCATTTCTAGCCATTTATTTAGTATAAATCAGTAATTAAAAGATGTGTGTAAAATGCGCAAGCGTAACTATGAGTGAAGTGTGACCGGTCGTGGGATGCTAGATAATACCGCACTATGGTGACTAAAATGGTCACACTATGTTCTTAACACCCTATCTAAAATTATTAGAACAAAATAATAATAATAAAAAATAATAATCCCATTTTCTTAAACTATAAAAAATTTAATTAAAATCGGAAAATAATAAAATCTGCGGTAATCCTAAACATTAAAAAAAAATAAACATCAGTTCTTGTCATATTTTATTTATGTGTTAAGTTACAATTTTGAAAATGTTGTTAAGTTACAAGGTGTCACTCAGGCTGTGGCTGACTCATTGGAAGACTCCTCCTGGTCCTCAGGTTTATCCTCCTCATTGCCGCCGGTTTCATCTGAAACTGGTATGCCCTCACCCTCTTGATCAACATTGCTATTACTGCTACTGGAGCTGCTTCCATTGCTCTCGACGAGATTGTCCTGGTCAAATCCATTCGTGTGCTCCGGCGTGGGGGCAGTGTCATTGGCGCTGGGAAGCGGGGCCATTGTCTGTAGTTTTTGTCTGGCGGCATGTACGAGCTTCTCCAGCTCGACACATTCCGTCTCAATCTCGTAGTTCTTTGACACCAGCAGCACCCAGTGGGCCTCCAAAGATCGCAACCTCTCGCCCGCCTGCGTCTGCGCTTGCTTGCGTTGCCAGTTTACGTCCTGGATGTCCTTCTTTAGCTGTTGAAGCTGCAGCTGCGCCTTCGCCTGCATGGCGGTGAAGACTTCCAGGTAGGACTTCCACGCCTCTGTGCCGTAGTCGAGCATCAGTTCTAGATTCAGGGACCTCACCCACTGGTGTTCCAGCTGGGCCATGGAGTTTTCGATGGCCTCCTGCCAGGCAGACACCTCGGACAGCTTTCCGGACGGTGGAGGAGGCAATTCGTAGCGCTTCATGGAGAGTGTCTCCATAGGCAGGCGGTTCTGGATTCGCTCAAACTCGTTCACCATCAGTGGAGTCTCAAACGGGGAGCTGGCGGGCAAAGGGAGGTGATCAAGGTAATTCTTGGTGGGGCGATAGCGCCGACACTCCTCCTCCACCATAGCGAGGGCCTTGAGAATAATGTAAATTATTTAGATGCATCACAATTTGATGGTATTAACTTACCGATTCCCTGACTCCCACATCATCGTAACCGTGATCTATGTAAGGTAAAGCATCCACAATGACCTCTCCAGCCATTATTAATAATTATTTATTGAGTTTTATACAATTTTTACAGCTAGTAAACAAAAACAAATGGCATTTGCCGTAACACGCCGGTAGGGATGCTTATCTAGCTTTTTATATATCTAAATGTTAGTTAACAGAAAAAACCAAACAATAAATAATGCTTTAGATCAGGGGTGCTCAACGCCTATGCACCGAGTGCACTTTTGTTTTTGTAGAGCTCTGTGCTTATGGGTAGTGCGCCCATAAGCACCGTGCATATGGGCTTCGATTTGCATGCGAAACAAAAACAATTTTGCTTGTTTCTTCATTACATCTCTGTCCGTCGTCACGCTTATCTGATCGCAATGTATTTTGTTTTTGTTTTTTCCTCGAGCACATGCACTGAAACTTATCTTTCTGTCTGCGTTGGCTTTTGATTTATTTCGGGGTTGACCATCGTAAGTGTTATGTTAAATTTTTTGGCGGATCAAAATGAGTGATGAATTAGAGAGCAGTTTTTTTTAGCATAAACTTTAAATGCGAAGTACAATGCTTAATATGCTTCGTAGTTCTGGAGGTAAACACCAAATACATTCTCTATAGGCATTTTTCTCTCAGTGCACAGCTGCACCCCAACACAAACGCGCCGCTACATATGTACACGTTTTCTTGTGGATGTGTTAGTAAACGCACTGCCATAAGACGATCTTGAGCACCCCTGCTTTAGATAATATATCAATATGTAAACATACATTAATTTTAATAATAATTATGTTTTAAATTAACATTACCTTGTAATTTTATTCAATTCAAACTTTTTGTTTTATTAAATTTCTACTGGGATGACATTTTAAATTTTAGTACTAACATTATTGCCCAATGCACAGAATTTGATTTCAAAAATTTGGTTAACCATCTGTTAATAGGTTGTATAATAAACCCTTGAAAAATATAAAAATTTGGGAAAAAATTACTAAGTTAATGCACACAATACTTTTAACCTAGAAGAAAATAAGGTAAACAAACCCAACGCCTACAGAGTTAAAACCCAGTGTTGTGCATGCTAGAAGCTTCCTGCTATCTTGACACTAGCCGCTGTTAACGAATGCAACCCTGCGCCGCCGAACGCGTTTAACAGCACTTTTTGGCCATTTCCGGCAGCTCTCTTTCTTTCTTCGTTCTTCTTAATAAAAAGAGGACGGTATCTGCGTTTGCAGAATATTTAACACCATTCATTGGGTTTGAAAATCAACGAAAATGGTGAGAAATTGACTGGGCAGCCCTTTGCAACCGCCGCAGGAACCAAAACAATGGATTTAACACAGAAGGCGGCGAAAAAATAGTGTAAAAGCGTCGCCCTAACCTCCACGTGTTTGGAATGTGCGGCGGTGGCGAAATGCGGATGTTGTGTTTTGTGCTATGTGAAAAGTAAACTAACACGGTGATTTAAAATTGCAGAGCTTAGGCAACGCCAGGCCATTGGTCTCCGTGTACACGGAAAAGAACGAGCCAGCTAAGGACAAGAACATTTGCCTACCGGCAGTGTTCAAGGCGCCCATCCGTCCGGATGTCGTCAACGAGGTGCACCAGCTGCTCCGCCGCAACAACCGACAGGCCTACGCCGTCAGTGAGCTAGCTGGTAAGTATTCCCCGATCTGAAAAATCCCGTGCAATGAGTCTAACCTGGTTCTTTTCTCATCGACAGGTCACCAGACCTCCGCCGAGTCCTGGGGAACTGGACGTGCTGTAGCCCGTATTCCTCGTGTGCGTGGTGGTGGTACCCACCGTTCTGGCCAGGGAGCTTTCGGCAACATGTGCCGTGGTGGACGCATGTTCGCCCCCACCAAGACCTTCCGTCGCTGGCACCGCAAGGTGAACGTCAACCAGCGCCGCTACGCCTTGGTGTCGGCCATCGCTGCCTCCGGCGTGCCCGCTTTGGTGCAGTCCAAGGGCCATGTCATCGACGGCGTCTCCGAGTTCCCCCTGGTCGTCTCCGATGAGGTGCAGAAGGTCCAGAAGACCAAGCAGGCCGTCATCTTCCTGCGTCGCCTGAAGATCTGGGCTGACATCCAGAAGGTGCGTACTGTAGTGGGGTTTCGGGTGGTGATATCTTTTTCGGGGTAAAATGTAAACAAACTCACTTTGGAAAGAGGATTTGTAGCATTTTTGCGAGATTTTTTGTTTCCTTTGGACTGTGCAGCGTGTAAGCAACTAACCTCTTAATAGGGATCAGATGCTTGCAGAGCTATGCTACGCTGCCAGATAAAATGCTTTTCTAGGCGTTACGATTGAAATTTGATCCACAATTTCCATCGTGGTAACGGAAGAGCTACATCTCATTTTCTACTAAAAAGTTTGATTTTCTCTAAAAGATATTTGACCGAACTAAAACAAAGATATTAAACTTTGTTTGAATTTAGTTTCAACAATTTAGTTGTTTTAAAGCTATTAAAAGATAATGTAGCTTATGACCACTACAAACACCTAATTGATTATTTTTATAGTATCGACAGTGACTAATGTTTTGTCTTTTTTCCCTCATTCTACAGGTGTACAAGTCGCAGCGATTCCGTGCTGGACGTGGTACCATGCGCGACCGTCGCCGCATTTCTCGCCGTGGTCCCCTGGTGGTCTACGACAAGGACGAGGGTCTGCGCAAGGCCTTCCGCAACATCCCCGGCATTGAGACCATCAACGTGGACAAGCTCAACCTGTTGAAGCTGGCCCCCGGCGGTCATGTTGGTCGCTTCGTCATCTGGACCGAGTCGGCGTTCGCCCGCCTGAACGATCTGTTCGGCACCTGGAAGAAGCCATCAACCTTGAAGAAGGGCTACAACCTGCCCCAGCCCAAGATGGCCAACACCGACCTGTCGCGTCTGCTGAAGTCCGAGGAGATCCGCAAGGTGCTGCGCGATCCCCGCAAGCGCGTGTTCCGCAGCGTGCGCCGCCTGAACCCTCTGACCAACGTGCGCCAGCTGATCAAGCTGAACCCATACGCTGAGGTCCTGAAGCGTCGTGCCGCCCTCGCCGCCGAGAAGCGCACCGTCGCCAAGGTGCTGGCCAAGGCCAAGAAGCAGAACGTGGAGCTGGCCAAGTCGCACTTCGCCAACGTGGCCACCAAGGCCGCCGCCAACCGCGCCAAGCTGCTGGCCGCCCGCAAGAAGAAGGTCGCCGCCAAGAAGCCAGCGGCCAAGAAGTAAACTTACTTTCCCTGAGGAGTAGAGCTGACACACTTTTATATTATAATAAAACACTAAAGTTGTATGAATTTTATTCATAATACATAGAGTGCGACAGTAATGCTCATTAAACTCTTAGTCTTAGGAACATTTAGTGTGGCTCTCTTTTTGCTCCGAGCGATCCGCTATCACGCTGCTCGTCGCTCCCGCTGATAACAACAGATGTGGCGGCTGTAGCTTTCGTTATCTTCGTATTGCGCCGATCTTGTTGGTCTTCGTACACACGTTCGCACATCCATGCCGTACATACTTATTGTCACACGTTAATTGGCATTTAATTAAGCGTCGAGCTTCGCCGCCGCTGTTATTCCTCTGTGAACGCTCGAGTCGTGCGGTTCTTCGTATCGCGCATAAAGGGAATTGGATCCCGCTGTACGTCGAATAAAAACTCAAATACAACAAAGGCAGCGCCAGAATAAAGGATGTATTTGATTCAATTAACTGATGTAATTTCGACACCACACTAGCCGCAAACCAAACCGGTTTTTGGACAATATTTACCACTTTGCGGCTGCGCTTGCCAAAAAGTGTAGATGCTATCTGGCGCAAATCTGAAACCGCGGATCATACGATTTTTCTATGTGCGGGTCGCGACCGATGTCTGGTTATATTGGGTAGAACGCAATAATATATAGCCACCACCGATCGGAAAGAGCGAAGCGGAGAGAGAGAGAGCGACGGCTATCAGCATCCGAAAAGAGAGCACTCTGGAGCGCCTCGATGCGCAGCAGCCTCCTCCATTTTTCATATTTTTTTCCCCGGTTCGGGTTGGCACTAGTCGCTGCCACTAAAAGGGTCGCTCAGTCGCGTTTAATCACCAGGGTCGAAAACATTGCGGAGGGCACTTCCGATCACTTGGCAGCCGGCTGATGCCGGAGCATCATCTTATAACTAGCAGCAATACCCGCCACCTAGCATCCGATCCAGCATAATCGCAGCCAAGTCATGTTGTCGACTGTCCTGAACTTTGCCCAGCGCGTCGCCGAGATTTCTTTGCTCGGCGGCATCGAGATTGCATCAGTTGCCCTTATTGTCTACTATATATTCGCCAAGACGAGGTGAGTACCGCTGCAAATGGGCGCAGATGGAAGCCAAATAAATCTCGCCTTGCGGGCAGACCATAAACCGAGTAAAATACCTATTTATATGTATGTGTGTTTGTGCCTCCCCCGGTCATCAAGTTCAAGTAACGCTGTAGAGGAAGAAGCGCCGTTATTTTTAGAGAGGCATTCGCAAGTTATCCAATGCATGCAAAATGAACCACAGTAGGATCTCCATAAGGTGAAAGTCATAAGTACTAAATCGAAAATTCCGAGTTTGTAAATATTTCCAAAATTGAACTTTAATTGGAGATTATTATGTCTTATCTTAAAGCTCCTACTTTTTTTTTATAAAAATTGGGTTGATGGTAAACTACTAGTCATAAAATGGAAACTTCGCTTAATGATTACCGATTCCATTATCTTAATTATCAAAATATCTTATCAGTTTAAATTTATTACAAGTATTTGATAGGACAATAGTTTATTGTGTTTTCTAAAAATAGATTTAAAAAGTTGTTTATTTCGATATTTATTTTATCTTGTTTTCAGTGTTAACTATTTTCTGTGGCAGTCACCTTATAGTTGCTTAACCGTAGATGTGTTTTGTTTTGTTATTATGCGCACAGGTGGTTGCTCCATTGGCCATGACTCACAATAGCCCTTTGTCCACTTATGCGCTTGCCCTTTGTAGAGTGAAATTTGCTAGATTTCCGCTTAACACCCACGTGCTTATTTAAACTAGGAGGCTGCCTTGAGGTTTTTGTTTACTCAGCACCTGCACTTTCTCCCCCAAACCACCCCTTTCTCCGACCCACCATAGAGTACTCTCTTCTTGCAAGGCGCAATTTTTGACGGTGCACTTCGAACAGATAGCAACAACAAACCCCACCCACGGTTTGGCCAAGAATCATTCTTGGCAACCATTATCGGAATGATTGCCGCTGTTAAATTTGCACCTAATCTCTGATTTCACAAGATTTCACAAAGCTATTTCCGTAATCTTGTTGGATTTTGGACCAGCTCGGAGCAACAAAGAACGCGAAGCCCTCATCTTTTATCGGTTGGTAATAGAAGAACATTGGTAGTGAAAGTACATTGGCCCACACCTCTAAATAATACATTCGATCCCCAAAGAAGCCTAAAAATTCTCTCGAGTGCCTTAGCCCGCGAAATTTTCCACAGATTGAGATGATGATTGCTGGGTCCACTTTAAGATTAGCACGCAGATTGCTTATATTGAATTGAAGTAAAATATAACAATCTTGTTGATCTTTGGTGGGTAACATTTTATTTCTGGTACTTATTGCTTATTACTGTTATCGCACTCTGCCAGAATACAACATAGTTTTTTTTTTAAGACTAAATCATATTTCTAATATATGTTTGCAGCGTTATACTGCTTAATGGTTAAAAAAATAAATACATACATTATTAAATATTCGATTCAAGTATATTCACGCTTAAATGCGAAAGTCTTGATCATCCCCACTGAAGGATTGCTTCGCTGATCGGCGTTGCTTATTCCTTATCGAAAAATCCGTGTCCGAATCCAACCAGTAGCTCTCGATGGCCTCATCGGATTGAGTATTGTCGGATGTGGTAATAGAGGGTGTCCTTGGCCGTCGACGACGCTTCTGGCTGCAATTTATAGAGTCAGAGGATTGGGGTCTTTCATCTGCGCTGTGTCGTCGCTTGATCTCAGTTGTCTCCTCGTGGTATGCGATGTAGGCGCGCAGCTCGGCGATCCGCTTCTTTTCCTTTTGTATCTGCTTGTCAAGCTGATCTTTCAGTTTGGAGAATCCCTCCAGCCGAAGCTTATTGCTCTCGTGCTGCTGCATCTGACGGTAGAATCCCATGTTGTCCGACGCCCGCTGGTTGGACTGGAACTCACTGATCTTTCGGTAGAGCTGCTGAAACCGAAAGGGATCCGCAAAGTATTCAGCCATGCCTCGGGGCATGTCGCGGTTGATCGGAATGCCATTAAGGACCTCCTTGCAAATGGGGCATTTCTTTTCTAACGAGGAATCGCTTATACAAGTGTCGCAAAGCACGTGCTGGCATCGAGTCAGGTGGAAAACCACTGTTGGCTCAAGGGTGCGCTGACAGTAGCACCTGTTGCAATGGATTCGAAACATAGCTTAAACCGCTTATTTTGTTTAATTAGCTGTTGTTTACGTTGTATAAATCTAACGGATTTTATCCTTGCTAGAGCTGCCACTCTGGAGGCGGTTTGTCTGGCAGCACCGTCGCCCAATTAATTTACTTAAACTAAAAATAAATAATACAAAAATGCGATGATAAATTACATTTTAAGATTTTAAAAAAATTTTAAGGTCTGTAAATTTGTGGCATTATTAGGGAAACAAACACATGTATCTATTTCCACTTTAATTGGTTTAATCAAGGTTTTGTGAAGTCATTTTTTGGCGTTAAAAATATTTTGTGGCAGTTAAGAAGAGAAAAACGTGCCTTTTAACGCATTAACAAAGTGAACACAGATTAAAAAGGTTTTTTGCTAAAAAAAAAAGATAAGCAGATAATAGTGTAAGTTGTGGTATAAGTATGTTTAATATAAAAAATATTTGTTTTATTTCTCATACAATTGCTTTGAAATATTCCAAACTTATAACCTCTGCCCATGTCAGCTGATTTTTAAGCGATGTTGATGTTTTCGTCGTACAAAGCACGCTCAAAGTTCAGTTCCGTGCCATATTTTATGAGCCACTAAACTTATCAGCAGCAGGCACTACTTAAAAACGTACACCACTTTCAGTATTAAAATATATATATTCTGATGAGTACGCTGGGCTATTGAACTCTGACGAAGTTGGACTGTTAACCACTTGAATGGCCGAATATTAATCAAAGTGGTGTTGTATTTTTAATTGCGTGCTTCTGATTTTAGTACCACCCACGGTTGGCGTAATGCATTTTATTGGAACTTTTTTATTAAACCCCTTACCCATTTAATTCCGATTGCAGGGCCCCCGTTATCATCGCCGGCCTGTTTCCCAACCTGAATCTAAGTTACCGCACGAGCTACCTCAGCAAGATCAACACCATCAGAAGCGATCTCCTGGTCACTTTGCGATCATCCAATGTAAGTTTCCCCGCCTATCAGGCTTTCGTTAATTACACGCTGTGACGCATTTGCAAGGAGTGACTAGTGCCGCAGATAAGCAAATATTTCCACTCAATGAACTGTGATTCTGTTCTGAGATTGCAACGAATTCAAATTTTCCAAAGCAGGTAACCTGCCTCGTATTTGCCCAATTTTTTTTTTCAATGTTTGTTCTGACCTAACAATAAACAATTAAAAATTTATTTAAAAAATATATAATATGTTTTGTTCAGCTATTTTATTTTCCAAAATAAACATAGTTTCATAATTCGAATTTGAATTTGCACGGAGTTGCCACCTTGTCCTGCCAATCGATAACAGTCCTGAAAGCTAAGAAGATTTCCTGAAAAAAGCCGGGCGCATGTAGGAAATTCAGAAATTACAATTACAAAAGTGCTGTAGAACAGTTCAGGCTCGTATAGTTATAATGACAATAGAAGAGTACCATGCCCGCGGCTGGTTCGAGGTATTTATGGATTCTATATGCGCACACGTTGCATCACAGATTCAGCATCGCTCCGATCGTTATTTTGCAGGAACCCAAAGCGCAGAATTCCGTGGCACATGGCATCGGGACACAAAATATGTTGGAGCTGACCCCACAATCGGGCCAAAAGCCCTTCAAGAAGCTGCTCGACTGGGGTCTGCTTTTTCCATATGTTGCCCAGGTGGTGCGTAGTGAGAAATTTGAGTACCGACAGGTGGGTAACTTTTTTAACCTCCCGTGACGACAGATAACCTTGATCCGCACCCCCAGGTCACCGAGATCGTCCACAACGATGCTGTGCTGAAGCACGCCATAAAACAGGCCGCTGAGCAGACGCTAAGGGAGCAGCGGTATGCCAAAAATGGACATCGGCTGCTCACGCGCAGTGCTAGTGGAGATCAGGAAGGGCAGGATGAGGAGGACGAGAAGCGGGGCATCTCTTATCAGGCCATTTTGCGTAAACAGGAGCAAAGAGCCGTTAGTATTCTAAAGGACATGGGCTCCACCCTGAACAACGGTCTGCTGGCATTCACTTCCTGGATCCTCTACAAACTCCTTCCGTGCTTCCTGTCCGGCGTCGTGACCAACACCAAGCAGATCGAGATGCTCAAGATGGCCACAGAGCGATCGCCGGGTACCCCTTTGATCTTCGTACCGCTGCACCGGAGCCATTTAGACTACATTATGGTTACCTGGATTCTCACCAACAATGATATACGCAGTCCGCTGGTGGCCGCCGGAAATAATCTACAGATCCCCGTTTTTGGAGGGCTCCTTCGTGGTTTGGGCGCCTTTTTTATCAAGCGCAAGATCGATCCAGTGGAGGGAAAGAAGGATGTTTTGTATCGAGCTGCCCTGCACCTTTACTTAACTCACGCTTTGAAGCAGGGTCACAATGTAGAGTTCTTCATTGAGGGCGGGCGAACGCGCACTGGCAAGCCCTGCATGCCCAAAGGTGGCATTCTCTCGGTTATTGTGAACGCCTTCATGGACGGCAGCATACCGGATGCCCTGTTGGTGCCTGTTTCTGTAAACTATGAGCGCCTTGTCGACGGAAATTTCGTGCGTGAACAGAAGGGCGAGAAAAAAATACCCGAGTCATTCAGCAAAGCCATTTCAGGCATTTGGAAGGCCCTGAAATCGAACTATGGCCTCATGCGGATCGATTTTAACGAGCCATACTCAATTCGAGAGCTGGTACACTCGTACAACAAGATAGCCCGAGAGGATGGAAACAATGCCAAGGTGTACAAGCCAGCCGCCAGGTAGAAAAATTAAAAGAATTTTACTGGGTTTTTGGTCTTGCAGAGGGTCTTAAATATACAATGCGGTACACATCTGCCGGGTTTTCTGTTGAGTTATTCAAATGAGCCGGTTTTGCAAAAGACATCACCGCAGACTAAAATCTGCGAGCCAAGACCTCAGTTATCATTAAGACACCTTTTTTTTATCAATTAATCACATCTTTACCATAGAACCCTTCAACACAATCAGTCAACATCCTCGTTATACGGCACCGACGTTGTTTGCGAGGAGCACCGTAACCTCATCGAAAGCATATCGCGCCAGGTGGTCTTCGACAGCGCCGCAGCCACTTCTGTGATGTCCACCAACGCGCTGGCCTTCCTTCTGCTCACCCGCTTTAGGAACGGCGCTGAGGAGCAGAATCTGGCCGAGGCCTTAGATGACTTGAGAAACTCGTTATCCGGTTGCAAGGACATTGGCTTTTCCGGCGAATCTTCACAGATCGTGGCGTATGCATGCGACCTACTTGGCTCAGGTAGAAATGCAATTAATTTTTCTCAGTTATGGCCCTTTTTAATTGAATTTATTTTTGTGTAGACCTTGTAACTCGCACTCGGGATGAAAACGGGCGTTTGGTTATTAGAGCTGTGGATTCTGTCGAAAGCTTTATTGAGCTGGCCTACTACTCAAACATGCTGACCCCGCACTTTGCCCTTAGCTCGATCCTGTTGGTCACCTTCCATTCGCTGCTTCCAAAGCCGGAACACAAAAAAGAGGCTGGATTGTCTCGCAAAAAGCTATTGGACACCGCCCTAGAGAACTGTCAGATATATCGCTACGAATTTATACTGAATAAGCCGACTCAGGTGCTCGAAAGCTTACTGCAAAAGCAGTTGGACGACCTTTTAAATAGCGGCTGCATTCGGACAGAAAAGGTAGAGTATTTCTTTACTTTTGTCTTTAAGTCTTGATTGATTTTTCCTCCAATAGCTGTACGATGATCCTCCGAATGCTGCGGAAAGCAGGCGCTTGGCTAACAGTCTGGCTGACTGCCTCGGCGAGGACGACGACGACTACCTGCACGTGAGCAACGGCGATGACAATGAACCCAAGCTTTTGTTCGCCTCCGAAACCCTGCAACAGCAGCGCTACATCTGCGAGGTCCTGGCGCCCTTCGCCTGGACGTATGTGACTGTGGCGCAATCCCTGCAGATACTTCACCGGAACTCCATGCTGGAGTCAGAATTTATTAGCTTTGTGATCAACGATTTGAGCAGCAAAGTCAAGCGCGGAAGCTGCATCTATGGTAAGGGAAGCTGTAAGACCGATTAACTTCTTATGACTAATAACTTGATTTTTAGCTGAAAGCATATCGACGGACTCCGTGCGCAACTGTCTGAAGCTGTTGGAGAAATGGTCTGTGATCGAGGTGTGCAACCAGCAGGGCATGCGCCTGATCTCACTCAACACGCTCTACGAGATGTCTCGGGAGTCGCTCAACACGATCGTCAAGAAGATTGACGCCATTGTACCAAAATTTAACTCTGGCTATTTTAATGTAACACCCTAACCAATGGGGCTTGCTTTCTTTTTGGCACTTTTTTTCCTTGTATAGTGCATATCCACCTAGCTTTAAAGTGCGTACTCCTAGTTCTTAGACTTAGATATGTCTAGTTTTATAGTCATACAAGTTTATATATGCCAAAGTGCTAGCTTTACTGTAAGTAAGCGACAGACAGTGAAATATGAACAAATTTCTAATTTATATTTAAGATATCATTTTCTATGTGCAGCGAGAGAAGCGGCAGGACAAACGAAAACCAATACAATATATCATCTATACTGAACTGATTGATTAAACTTTATAATTTTATAACATAGGAATAATAGAACAGCTTAAAAAAGTGTACTCTCATTTTTAATAACATCGGCTTGGGGAGCAAACGGCAGACTAATTGTCTTCTAAACACATTCGTAACTATTCAGAAATAAATACATGCAGGTAAATTTGAAAATATTAATTTATAATACAACAATCATGTAAAGTTTTAAAGACATAGGTTAATTGAGAGATAATCGTTTTTATCTAAAGAGCCCATTTTATTGCTCCTGCTTGACTTCTATTGGCTCGTCGTCGGCACTAATGTGCTTCACTTTGGGAGTCTTTTTGACCTTTTTTTCAGGAGCAATATGGATGCGAACGCCGGAGTTTTTTATCCGACGTATTTGCTTCAGCTTGGCACCAGTTTCCTGAATATGAAATTAGTTATTAAGAGCATTTTAAAGACTTAATGTTAATTTATTTCCTCACCTTGGTCACTCCTTCCTTCAACTTGCCACCAATCTCACCGGAGCACCGAGTTGCGCCACAGAAGCAGACCTTCTTGCTGTCGTTCATTAAATCATCCCATAAATAGTTAAAGGTGAGCTCCGAGTTCTGTAAAAGAAATAAAGTACAAAATATAATACATTAAATATAACAAATACCTAATAGAATAGCTTAAAATGGTTCAAACGTACCACTGGAATGTCCTTAATAGCAAACAAGCCTACACGATGAATGCAGTTGACAGTCCATTTCTGAGTCGCGCAGTTAGGCTCGCACGAATGGTTCATGAAACGCGCCAAATTGCCCTTCGGACCCGCATCGATGATAAAGTCCTTCTCCACGCCCAAAAAGTAGAAGTTCTCGTCTCGGTCCCGCTGCTTCTGCTCCATGCGCCGTTGAAACTCGGCGTGATTAATAACCTCGCCCACGTACTCGATGACGAAATCTCCCTCGGCAATGGGCTCGCGGTTTACAAGTCCAAATCCCCGCTCGTTCATGTACACCACCTCCAGTCGCGGTGATTTACGCAGCTCAAACATCTGATTTTCACAGCGAATGCCAGCCTTGCAGTAGTTCGGATTGCACTCATTGAAGAGCATGCGATTAAGGCAACCTGAGTCTGGTCCGCATGGATGTTCATCGGTCGGCTGGCAGCCGCAGACATTTAAATCCTCGAGATTCTGGGTAAACCGCACAGGCGGCACGGGCTTGTTGGCCTTGATTTTCACGTATGGCGGCGGATGGAGCTTAGCGGCACTTTGGCGTCCCATGGCTTGTTCTTGACGCCGAGCCTTAACGATCTTCAGAAAGCGAGAGGCCTCTTCCACTCCGGTGGTGTAGTTCCTGGACAGCTGGGACTTGGTCTTCTGACTGTCGCCCGCGTCTCCCTCGATGTAGAGGTAAACCCGGCGCCGCGAAATCCACCCATGATCGTGGGTGCCAAAGAATCGGACGACGAAGTCATTCTCACCATGAGCTTTCTTGAGGATGTTGCTGGGTATCTCGGTGGGCGGCAAGATGATGGCCGGCCACCAGCGGAAGTTGTTAAACTTGGCCCACACAATTTCGCCGTACAATGGCAAACGGCCGCTCTCGCACTCCTCGCAAATGTAGCTCTCGTTATTCTTGATCGGAATGTTGCGGCAGTGGGCATGCACGGCTATGGGGCACGTTTCGCAGCAGACTAGTTCGCCGCCCTTCACGCAGATGTAGCACCACAGTACATTCACGTGAGCATCCGCCTTGGCGATGTTGTGGCGCGGACAGATTATGTGAGTGGCGTTCAGCATCTGGGTGCCAGCTGGAATGCAATGAGAGTCCTGATGATAGGTGGCTGGACATCGGACACACTTGGCCAGCTTGGAGCTGCCCAGCTGCTGAAACTTGCCGCTGGGATCGTTGGAGACGCACGTGTGGCACACGTGACGCGGGCAGCGTGCCGAGTTCCTGCTACTGATCGCCTGCGGCCAATACTTGCAGCATCCTGCGTGGAACAGCTTGCCACACAGTGGTTGGCTGCAGGTTAGGAGTTTATCCTCCACAGCAATTTGTGCTGGATCCTCCTTTTTGATTGGAGTTCCTGGTAAATCAGTGGACGGCGACGCTACCTGGTGGCAGATGACACAGCCCTCCGGTTCGCCTATACTGCACTCATGACAAGTCAGTGTAGCCACAATAGCAACCTCCTTCGCGTCGGCTGTTACGTGCTGGTCGTCCGGACTGGGCGACTTGGATGTGGGCGAAATAACGGCTGCCTTTCGGCTTCCCATCTCCTTGCGTTCCAGGCAATCGGCATGCAGCCAGCTGTTGCAACTGCGCGAGCATCGCTGCAGGTTGGAGCCCACCTGATAGCAGTACTTGCAGATCGGCTCACGGCTAAGCCCTCGGAAGAGGTACTTGCTGTCCAGCTGCAAGATGTCCTCAACCACCTCCTCGATGGGCCTGTTAAAGGTCTTTTTTGGCTTGGGCGCCTCGGAGATACGTCGATCTGGCTCCGAAGGTACCGGCGTTGAACTGGGCGTCACTACGGGGGTCATGCTGCGTCGAATCATCATGGTTTTTAGGCGGTTTGAGAGTCTTTTAATTGTCCCGGCGCCACGCCCACGCTCCACCACCGAAGAGCCCAAAGGCTGCTCCATCTCACCACTAGCTAAGTCACGCTCGAGTTCGCGCAACTGGATCTGCTTTAGCGACCAGATATTGCTGACCACGGCAAGCAAAACCTTCTCCACCTTTTCCTCGGACCGGTGCACCATCACGTATTCCTTGACGGCGTCAAACAGTTGCCCGAACTCGGGGTTGGCGTAAATATTCACGCCCTCCGGCGAAAGGTTCTTTTCCAAGCCAGTTTCGGTAGGGGAAGGAGTCACTACAGTCATGGCAGTGCTCCCAGTATCCGCCTCAGTGCCGCCGCTCAGTTTACGGCGCTTGGCCCGCTTTTCGTTTTTGCTCTTCACGGGCGAGAAAGCCGGGCTGAAGGGCGACTCAGAGCGCTCTCGCTTCACGGACACCAACAGCGGTGCTTGCTTGTTGTGCAAATTATCCGTAGAGTCGTAAAGACTGCTGCCAACATCCGAAGTGTCCTGCATCATAGATTTGGTTCGTTTGCGTTTTTGTTTATTGAGTGTGCTAAAAAAGTGAATAAGAAAGCTCTTAAATATTAGCCAATTGTTGCATTGAATGGGGACACATTTTTGATAATTGGCCCAGAATAAACACTTTTTAATAAGCAAACGATATCTCGTAAACGAAGCGGGAAATCGAAAAATTATTACTAAAAAGTGTTTATTTTGGGTCAACTACCCAAAATATGTCCCCAAATCTTGGCGCCCCGGAAACTAAAATCTCCCCCATTGGTTTCAAAATATAAGGACTCAGTTTACTTACACCACACTCTCGCAGATCTGGTAGAATTTTTCGAGGCGATCGGAGTACGGGATCTGTGTCATAACCAGGGCTTCGTCGATGGCCTGATGCCAAATGGCAACATTCGGCCGCTTGGGTATCATTTGACGGTATTTGGCGCTTTTTGGTCCGTGCTTAATGCGCACCTCCTCTCGCAGCTCCTTGAAGGCCTCGAGTCCGACGAAGGTCAGCAGGTTCTCTGGCTTGATCCAGTTGCGACGCCCGTTGTCCGCAAAAAAGCGCACATGCACCTGAATTGGCACCGCGGCGTTGTCCAGGGAAGAGCGCTGCGGATGGCTCGGCATGTTACCCACAATCTGGCCAGTAGGATCTGGACACACCATGCAGGGCCAGAAGCAGTACGAAAAGACCTTGCCCCAGAACAGATCACCCACTTGGTAGGTGGGCCACCCTGGATCTGTGACTATGGACAGGCCTTTGGCGCTGTCTATGCTCACGGAGGAGGGAGATTTTACTGAACTAGCCAGGGCAGTGGCGGTCAAATCTGGGGAATATTTGATGTCCATATCTGTGGAAGCGGACAATGGCAGTGCAAATGTCATTTGTTCGGGACTGTTGTTCAGGTCTTTCGGTTCATCAGAGACAACTCCTGGACTGTGTTCTCCTGGATTGCCATCTTCATCTAAGCTGGCACTGTCCTCCACCGTTTCGGGAACTTCTATTGGCGTATCATTCTCGGCCTCAGTCTCGATTTTAATCGTTGTAGTCTCATTCTCTGTTTTTGGGGGTTCTATTGGCAAGGGGGCTTCTTCACTGATTAGCTCTATATTTACTGACTTTTCTTCCTGGGGCTCTGCCTCCGGCTCAATGGGCATCTTTGACTTATTAATACGCTTCATTTTGCGCTTGAGCTGCTTGCGAACGGCTGGCCGAGGTGCCAGCTCCTCGGCGTCTGCCTCGAACCCCGTGCTGTTGGGCGAACTGGCGCCGTTCTTAATCAGCAGCTTCTCGATGGGACTCATATATCTCTTGCTGTTGAGCAGCTGAGAGCCGCCGCTTGATCCTGCCCCTCCAGCCCCGGTGGTCCTTGGGGATGCATTGTCGCGGGACAAGGTCTCGCTGGTACTGCTGCTGTTATTTAGGGCTTGGTTTACGCGTCTCCTTGTGGTCCGAACCGTGTCGTCAGAGTCGGAGAGAGGCGTGGGTGAGTTGGCGTTGGCATAGCCAATGTATTTGGGACTCAGGGCAGATTGCAAGTTTATAAGATCGCGTTTCCCTATGGGAAGCACACACAAGCGCACAAAAGCAGACAAATTAGCATATGGACAGCATAGGGCGGGGAACGTTTCGCCATTGTTATACTCACGGTTTGCAACGGGTAGACGAGTCTGCTTTTGTGTTGGCGTCTGCCGCTGGCTCTCCGCATCCGCCTCGGACTCCTGCTCTTCGGCGTTTTGGGTGGGACTCGGCACTACCAGTCGGTTCACTGGCGTACTTATTACGGCGTCCTTCGAGGTTCCTCCATCTTCGACCGTCTCGTCGTTGCCCGCAACCACTTCATTGGCATTGGTAGCTAGGTGATCGGAAGCTAAGTTGCACATCACATGGCCATGGGCATCCTCGCCCTCGACATCCGAGTGCGCACCCGTGCTCAGCTTCATTGTGCGATCCAATTCAATTGCGCTAATATTAATAAAACACAAAACCAACAATTTCCAAGAACAGCTTCGCGTGCGCCAAAACTAGAGATGGAATAATCGATAAATCGTCGATGCATCGATGTTAAACATTTTTGAAAACATCGATGTTGGGCGGCGTCCGATGTCGATAAAAATTTGTGTTTCAAACGATGCACAGTGGGCCCGGTCAGAAAAAAATATAAAAAAATTCAAATCATGCCATAATAGAGAAGCTTAAAAATTGCATAAGTCTTAAATATCTATTAATAAAACAAAACGATGACGTGGGCTAGGTCAGAATAGAGAAGAACCCCACCGGTCACTCAGATCCGAGTATGTCCTACATCTTTAATTGTTTATAACAAAAAAAAAACGGTGCAACAGTTTCACTTTCCGCCAACGGATTTCGAAATTTTAGAAAAAAAAACACATCAATTGCATATTTTACTTTTTTTTTAAGCTGTTTTTAGCGTGGACAATTACCAAAGTATTTATCCCCAATACAAAAGGTACTATATTTTTAAGTGGCTCATTTCTGATTCTGAAAATTGTTTACGCAAATTTATAAATTTTTTGCCTCCATAACCTAAATGGTGTATGAGTATTATTTCGAGGACAACATGTAGTTTTAAAGAAAAATCGCTGGTTTTAAAAAATCCAAGTAATTTTACTCTCTAATTTCAGTGACCGGCCTTCCAAAACAACACAACAGGGATGCCAACCTATTTAGCTCACGCTCACCTAAAACCAAACTCACGCGACGTACCCATCCTCAGCGTAAACATATGTACATATCTGTGTAAACGCATGTAAAGGCAAACGCGACGTTTATCCTGGATTTCCTCGACGCTAAAGGGTGTCGCGGCAACCAAAAGATCAAGAATCGCACGGGCAACACACCATGGACGAGTTTATTAAAACGCTGATTGCCGAGGTCAAGTCGCAGGGCGTCTTCGACGAATTCCGCTTTAACTGCTGCCTGGCGGACGTGGACACGAAGCCCGCGTACCAGAATGTGCGCACCCGGGTGGAGACGGCGGTTAACGATTTTCTGGCCAAGCAGCACTGGACCCCAGATACTAACAAGGTGCAGCTGCGCGAGAGGCTGCGGAAGCACCTGCTAGAGTGAGTACCCTTTTGGCTGAGATTAGGTAACGTAATAACCTTGGCTATTCCAGCTCCGATGTCCTGGACAAGGGAGTGGACCAAATCGTGGACCAGGTGGTCAATCCGAAAGTTGCCACCATATTCGAGCCAAAGATCGAGAGCATTGTCTACAAGTACCTGGGCATCACGCCCCCGCCGCCGCCTCCCGTGAGATCTGCCATGCTGCCCGCCCCGCCCTTGCCGCCATATGCTGGTCACATGAATGGCAGCAGTAGCCTGCTCAACGTGGAGACCCCCGCTGGCCTCCTGCCCACCGACCTGGAGCAGATCAGTCCAGACTCCGACCGGGCTACAGTCAAGTCAGAGGTTCAGGACGATGAGCTACCCCCTGGTGTGGACGATGAGGACACATCGCCGTCCTATGAACCTGTAAGCGAGGAGAAACCTCTTTCCAGCAAGGAGCGGCTCAACAACGGCTCGCTGAACAACTCGGACTCCGTGAATGGTGTTTCACAGGCGTCCCAACTCTCACAGGTGTCCAGCGACAGCCGCCTAACCATCGCCTCCTCCACGGAATCGGTGACCGATGGACTGCAGCCCGCGACAGCACACAACAGCGCCGAACCAGCCGACATTTCCGAGGAGGCCCAGATGCCGAAGTTTAGCGAGAACTCCAGCGATGCAAGTGCGAATAACGACAGTCGACAGTTGCACTTCGACATCAAGCAGGATGCCATTACCTTCGAGGGTGAGTATTAGTCAGGCCACGCAAGAACAGCTTTGCTTAATAATGTTATTGTTTAGGTACTGAGCGAAAGAATTCTGCGTCGGAGGACACGAACGGCGTCCCCCTGGTGCTCTCCATTGAGGATGCCATTATGTCAGAGGTGAAGGCAAACATAGACGATGCCAACCATGCCAGCATTGAGTCGATAGATGAAGCGGAACCCCAACCTCCGCCAAAGATTGAACCGCCTCCCACGCCAGCCCCGCCTGAAGTTAAACCTCCTCCTCCGCCTTCCCCACCTAAAGTTGAGCCACCTCCACCGCCTCTACCAACAGAAAGCAGTAATGGGTGCTATTCCGAGGCTGATAACTCAGAGGTAAAACCCAAAGCCGAGACTGCGGAGGTTAAATCGGAACCAGCTCCGGCCGAAATCAAGGAGGACAAACTTTCGATTCCCAGCGTGCCGCCAGAAAATGTGGAATCACTTAAAGAGGAGGCTACTAAACCGTGTGAATCCACAGCGTCACCCATATCAGTATCTTCGCAGTCGAAAAGCTATTCGAAGTCAAAGGACAAGGAAAAGGAGCGAGGACGTCACAGTCACTCCGATGACAAGCAGCGACGGAGGAGCAGAGATCGGGATCGTGACCGCGATCGCAGTCGAGACAAATCAAACAGCAAACATTCCTCGAGTTCCAGCTCAAAGCACTCATCATCGCACTCCTCCAGCTCAAAACACAGGAGCAGCAGCTCCAAGAACGATAAGAGCACCTCCAGCACTTCTAGCCGTAGTAATCACGAGTCCTCCTCATCGAAACGCTCGAGCACCACATCTTCATCTCGCCACGAATCATCCTCACACAAAAAACACAAGTCCAGTTCGTCTTCATCGCGATCTGATCGGGATAAGGACAAGTATAGGGAAAGGGAAAAAGACAAGGAAAAGGAAAAGGAAAAAGAGAGCCATAGCCGTAGCCACCATAGCAGCAGCAGTTCTTCGTCGTCCTCAAAAAGAAAAGACTACGATAGAGGCCGCGATCGAGACCGCAACAAATCCAATTCGTCCGGCAGTGCAGAGAGTAAAGCTATCCAGGATGATCACAACGAGAGCAAGGCGAAGGTGAAACAACGCCGGAGTTCCGACTCCAACGATGAGGGCAAGCCCCCAGGATCCTGCGGTCCTGCGAAGACCAACCAGGCCGAGATTGCCCAAGCTCCGGAGAAAGCCGACGCGCCTGTGGAGAATGGAAATGGAACGAATGGAAACTCTAACGGTGGTAACAATGGTGAGTGCGACAATGCCAGCAGTGTTGTCATCGTCAGCGACCTCCTCCAGCAATCGTCAACTAGTTTTATTCAATTGACTGCTGGATCCCAGTCACGTAAGGAAGTAGAGAGCAGAATTCCTGAAGCCGAACAATCAGTAGCCGAAAAACAGACGGGGACACAAGAATCGGAGGCGACACAACAGGAGCCTGCTCCGCAGAATAAAGAGCCAAGTGCAGAACCTCAAGGAGCTGACAAAGCTGTATTCGTACCTGATTCCACTGTCGGGGACAGCAAAAAAGAGGATGAAATAGATTCAACGCAGCGCATTGAGGAATCTAAGGATCCTTCTGTATTTCAAGAGACCTTAAAACCTGCGGAAACGACCCAACTGGAGGATCTACCGAATTACACTAAAAAATCTAAGAATCTTCCCGCCACACAACAATCAAACTCGTACGAGCAAAGCAGTGAATTAGTCGCCGACTTTGTGACCCACTTCGAGCACAACCCAGACGAGTTTAAAGCGCGTCTGCAGTTCATTGAGCAACTGATAGAGGACCGCAGGAATCTACTCAACAGGCTAAGTGCGGACGGTTCGCAGGACGAGGGAGTTGATGTACGAGCTCTGCGCAGAAGCATATCCAAGCGGAGGCGAAGCAGCTTACAGGAGCAACAGGAAGAGGCGCGTGAGTCGACACCGACGCGGCATTGCAGCCCGAGCAGCAGTAACTCCGGCAGTCCGGCAAAGAGACTACGATGCGACGATTCAAAGTCGTCGCCAACGCCTTCCGACGCCAGTATAAACTCCAAGGAGAACGAGGCTTTGGAGAAGCAGGAGCATGGTGCGTACTGCAATTATGTGTGTATATGAACGAGATTTCCAAAACTCGCTGCCGCTTTATTGTTAACCCACTTTTTAGGGTGGATCGCTTGTTAAATAAGAAATCAAAATTAATTAATGTAATGATATTGTTGGATTTCAGTAGTAGCGATCCACCCTTTGATTCTGATTGAGATTTACATGTTTCATGCTCATCCTCATTGTGTTCTCTACCGCCTCTACTTTCTCCTCCACATGCATCCACATTATATGTAAACTAACATAGCTGTATGAAGCCTCCAATAGTCCTATACCATTCTAAACTCTGCTGGGTAAGACTTCTTGTCTCTTTGCCCAATTTTACTTGATGCTTTAAGTGTTTCCGCGAATGTGAGTGATTAATTTGTTGTTTACTCTGCAGATGCCCTGTCCGCCAGGAGACTCAGCAAAAAATTCTGCCAGCAACAGCGGTACACCAACGATGATCTCTACAAGCCCCGTCCAATCCTGTCGCAACGCTCTCGGCGCCGGGGTCTGGATTCAATCCTCTAGCTAACGAACGATCTGTTATCGGAAACAATAAAAGGCAATTGTTGTTAATGCATTTGACATAAAACAAATTCTTTCTTTTCTTTCATCCGTTTAATGGGCCTTTTCGCTTGCCAATGGTTTGCTTCTGCTTTGTTTTCTTTTAAATTTGTTAACAATAAAATTGTAATTTTAGAGCTACACCTTACAGTTTAATAATCATCGGTGTAGCATATTCATATATATATATATAATGCATATATATAAACAAAAATAACAGTGAACGTAATAATATGATGCATTATTGTATATCCTGGGGATTTCGGTTGTCCTGATTCCTATCACTGACTGCTATCGCCATTTAAAAGGGGACAATTCTAGCACTGAGACAATCGGTAATGTGTGATGATGCATAAAAACAATGTTGGGTTCGGAGAGGCGGTCGCAGATAAGTGAGAGGATTGGGGACAACGGATATAGCTAGGCTACTACTCTACAATGGGGCTGGCTAATTAGTACCGGGTCTTAATTGGGCAATCCGGGAGGGAGACGTAGTTCTCTGGGAGCTGTATCTGCTGTTCTTTATATTTTGTAACATCTCAGTTTGAAGATTTATGTGTAATTTAATTACAAATTATTGAATTTTTCTTCGCGCATGTGTGCTTTACATTTTTGCTCTTGGTTACTTTACAACGATCAACATAAATATATGCATATATATTTTGAAACTTGTTAAAAAAAATATATATAAATGTAGTAAATCAAAGTTTGTAATACATTATAGTAGGTAATAGTATTGTACAAGAATTTTCTCTCATTTCGAAATAACATAGATACAGTATTATCATTAGCATTTACTTTTAACAAGAATTTCGCTTTTTGCCTAAAACTGTCTTTGTGTGTGTGTGTGGTGTGTGGGTTTTGTAGGGTGGTGGTGTAAATTGTGTGTGTGGAGTTTGCGTGTTGTGTGTGAGAGCGAGAGTTTTGTGCAGAACAACAACTACGGTTTAACCTCCGACTATGGAGTGATAAAACTCTCTCACCGACTCCTCGCAGAGTATTCATACAAGCAGCTGGGTTTGGGTGGGCAGTAAGTGGGGTGGTGGCCAGGCGATGGTCGGTGGATCGGCAGGCGTTTCGAACCCCGTGTCGTTCACCTGCCCAAAAGGCCCCCAGTCGCACTCCAGCTCCCCCGTACCCGACCGCCAACTAATAGCTACGCTTAGGTTTAGCTGTCGCTGCTGCTGCAAACGTTTCGAACGCAGGCCCCGCTCGCGGCCACGCCCACTGGCGCCGCCTACGTGCTGGAGAAACCTCGCTCGTAGGGACTCTTCACGTCTGTGTGCCGCGTGTGCAGGTTGATTGTCGGCCCAGCAGGTCGAGTCGACAGCTCACAAACCGTCTTAATGGCACCGGAGGCATTTACCGAGGGTGGGGCGGGGTGCAGGGTGGCTGCGGAGTCCTTTTCCTTTACCGTCTCCCGGTCCAGGTTGCTCTGCTTTTCATCCGCAGTGCTGGGCAGCACGTAGTCCGCTTTGCGGGGCTCCGAGCGGCCCGTAATTGACGATTTGTACTTGTCGGCGTCCATGCCGCACAGGTAGAACTTGAAGAATTCGTACGTCGACCAGCAAATGGCCGTGGCGGGCATGGAGTACAGAACACGTGCGGTCGTGCCCCTAAAGAAGCCCAATGGACCAGCCATGTGGTAGATCTGAAAGAAAGTTTTAATAAAGTTTGCTCGATTATTTTGCTATTTGACGTATAAAGAAGATTCCAAAGGTCTTCTAAAGGTATAATCTACGCAAACTCGACATTTAAAAGGGTAGATCCCCAGGCAATAAAATTACACTAGCCATATGTAATTTTAATAAAATTTTATTAGCTTGCTAACCTCAATGTAAGTACAACTAAATAAACGAAATTGAAAGCTAAAATTCGTTTTCTAATATTCGCATGAAATATAATAAATGTAATTTTTTTAAAGATTAAAATATGATTTGTAAGATTTAAATTTTAAATCCTTCGATATACTAAACAGAACAATTAATTTCCCAAATTAAACTTACCTTTCGGCTTGCTTCGATCATGCCGCGCGTCAGACCTGTCTCCTGAGTGTTCAGCAGCGTCTTGATTACATCTAAGGGCGTAGTTATAGCCGCTGCACAAGCTCCAGCCGCAGCCCCCGCTACCATGTGCACTTTGGGATTGTATTTGCGTTCCAGGTTTAACTACAATTCACAAGGTGCTTATTACTCGCATCATAGGCTTATCGAAGTTTAATGCACTTACAGTGTTCTGGAAAAACTCATATGTGGTAAAATGTATTGTCTGATATGGTAAATTCATGACCAGTTGCGTGCCGTAGGCTCTGTAGAAGGCTTTGAAGCCCTCCTTCTTGTAGATGTCTCGCACACAGGATATCACCGATGTGTAGGGCGAGTTGTACATCTGCATTCGCTGCTTGATCACATCAGTGGGACTAGAAATGGCGTCGTGAATGAGAGTGGCCACCACTCCCGAAATAACTGAAATGGTTTTGGTTCATTACAGGCTTCATTCGCAGAGTAAATCTTAAGTTTTACCGTAGTTGAGGTTTCTCACTGATGTGAACTTGGCCGTTAGCTCCTTGGTCATTTCGTAGGCAGCGAAGTACAAAGAGTGTGCTGGACCAGCACCCAAAACCACAGCACTAGCTCCCCGAATGGGTCTGTAAATCGGAGTGTGTATTAGCTTTATCATATATGACCATGCTTCTGGGGTTGCACTACTTACCTCAACAATCCCTCACGTGTGACCATGTTCCTAAAGGTTGACAATATGTTCATGTTTTGTGTAGGCGGTGACAGACTCTGCATTCTCGTCTACAAATGGGCAATAATAAAACGTTTAAAATAATTGCATATTTAAATTGTACAAAAGCTTTCTGCAGTGTTTGTTATTTAATTTACCCTTTGTTTGTCCTGAATTAAAATGGGTTATCAAGCGGCTAAAGCAATACGTCAGAATTACTATCTTATATTCCTGAAGAATTATCAGAATAACTCTGCGCAAGAAGAACTAAGTAGGGAGACTACCTAGCGTTCAGCTATTCTTCTGCAAGTCATGGTTACTCATGGATTATAGTACCTAACCCAACTTAATTGTGGGGGATACACAATATTCATTTGTAACGCTGACATTGTCAAGACCTGAACTGGCGATGCTCTCATAATAATTTCTGAATCAGAATTGATTGGGTATTTTCCCAAAACTATTTTAATCTTGTACTGCAGTGCCCCTCTAGGAAAATTATAGAAAATAGTGAAATTTGTAAAAAGCAAAATAGAATATGTTTTCAAATATTTTCAAGTTATAGTTTTTTTGAGGTCTGTCAATGATTAGCCTGAGCTATAATCGATTTACAACAGCCGGGACTAACAAACGATATCAATGAAATATAAAAATAATATAATAGACTTTCGGCCGGGGGAAAACTTTCGCTGATTTATAAGCAAGTCACTCGGGACCTACAGATTTGAAATCGTCTACGTACTTTACGATTACACTGGTTTATAAGTATATGTATGTATATATACTTAATTGCATTTATTTAAAGGCGTGCCCGTCGAGCACACAAGATAGAATTATATCACAAACCGGAGAGCAGCAGCTCATTTTAAATTATGAAGACGCGAGCTCGGCGATAAAGATAAGATTTCCTGGAATACAGCGCAACTGCAATTATCTATCTGCTGTTTGTCTGTTGCTATCAATAACAAGACAATTCAGGGTGAAAAATAGTCTCTCGAGTATGAAAACCTAATTAAAAAGGTGCTACAAAATGATAAATGTCTCCATTACATAAATACCATAACATTGATCTGGTTTTAAATATATTTGGGGCCTAGCATGATTCATTCATCCCGATAATAGGTGTCCCTGATAAGGGAACATATTGTGAAATCAGAATGACAATAAAAATTTATAAACCGCAGAGAAATATCGCGAATTAAAGCACCTAAATTGCTGGTCAATTAAAGGTTCTCGGCTCTGGCTTTCATAACTCCATGAAATTAGTTCGTCAAACGGACTGTGGAGAGACAGACTACTTTAATAATGACGCCGGGAATCCCGGCCAGGCTTTAAGCTGGCACCTAACTGCCTGCCGCCTGTCACAGTGCGATTGACACATGTGGCCACGAAAATCAATAAATACTCGAGCCGCAAACCAGCTGAGTGAAATATAACGAAACAAGAATCGGTCAATAGTAGGCATAGGTACATATAGAACTGGGGGTATATACACATACATATCGGGTGCACATCATTACGCGGTAGCCAGACAAATTTGCATATGCTTAGTTGTCGAACTTGTGTACTTTTGGCTCCGCAGAGTTTTCAGGTGAGCGATCAAAGCGCTGCCGATAAGAGATAGTCCATTTAGTCATGGAAACGAACGGGGGCTAATCTTATCACCGCAGCATAACCCAATGGAACGTGCTCTGATAAGCGCAGAAAGTGGCTAAAACTTTACTACCTAAAGCTCTTAATGGGGGAGCGGGACCTCTTGGCTGCACTCGAGACCCGAGGAATTACATCACGATTATGCCAAAGCAGCGGCGGCACACACAAAAATTCCGATTGTTAGTGAGGTTAGGTTTATGGTAGCTTTATGCTCCTCCGATTACCAGACGTCCAGTGCGCTCACCTTGACGGAGTCCAGTGGATACATGACCACATGCTCCAGCACGCCAGCAATTGCGCCTGCGGTCATGTTCACACCCACGCTGGTGGTGGGCAGCGATTCGTAGTCGTCTATGTTCATCGTGGATCCGCTGCTGCAGTGCCGATTGTGTGCGAATTGTGGTTCGCCCTTGCAGTGGCTGCTCCTCTTACGCTGAAACGCAAGTCCAGACCAGTTCTAGCGCTCTTGTTGCAGAACCGCTTTCTCCGTTGGGATCGGGTGCTCCGCCGGGCGAAGATGGGAGGTTTGGTCGAGTTTTGGCCGGCGTATGTTCAACACGGAAACAATTTTGTTGTATAACACGGATATCACGATTCGCGGGTGGGCGGGGGGTGGTAATGGTGGTGCAAAGTGAACGCGTGAGGCGATGGTGTTATGCGAGACTACTAATTGACACTGTCGCTCTACTCTGACACTGACGCTAGGTAGTAGGTACTGGGTACTGCTGCTGCTCGACCAGCACACCGACGACACGCTCCCGACTCACTCAAGTTCGGAGCGAAGAGGTTTTTGCGGTTGCTCTGCCGCGGCCCTTGATTCGGATCAACTGCAACGGTTGCTGGTGTTTTCTGGATATATAGACGAGTTGGTTGTAGCCGGACGGCGGCCGAAACAGAATTTTGGCTGGGTCGGTGTTTGGCAACTCACGCAAAAGCTGGATGATTACAGGGAATCATTAAATTTCGCCCAATAAACAAGCCTCGTGCCCAGAGTGACCGCTGTGAGTCCGTTGCAAAATACCAAAGGGCTCGGTTAAATATACCAACGCACTTCGAGCATTGGTCAGAATATACCATAAACATGTGGGTGGGGAACTTTATTGGAAGTGGTCCGAAGTATTGCCGACATAACATACTAGAGCAATTTTACAAACTAATTATATTGCGGTTTATTAATGGGTTTTAATTTGTATGACAAAAAAACGTCGAAAACCAGATATATTTCAAAATCCCTTATGCAAAACAATTCAAAATTAATAGAAGTACAAATTGCTACTCAAAATTCTGTAAATCTAAAGCCAATGAGCCAATATAGATGGCTTAAACAAGGATTCCGGACCTTTGTAACGCAACTTTGCGTTAGTTATTTAGATTTAATATATGTAAAATTCGATCATCTAAAAAATAAGTTAAACATAAAAATAAGCAACTATTTATTTATTGCTTTTATAAATGTTAGAGTCTTAAGATATTTTCGATTTAATTTAATAGTTACTTTTTTACTGTCCACCACTGTATATATCTTATTTAGCAGAGGGGCAGCATTCCTTTCCAGGGCGCATGGCATATTCCAACGTTCGAGAAACGGTCGCACTACGAGGGATTTAAAGACTGGAACGCCGAGCTTCGGCGTCATTAAAAAAAATCAAAGCGAGCGTCGCAAGTGCGGATTAATTTATTAAGTCTGTTATTCGTGACGTGGCCTTTCAGCCGGAGCAACTGATAGCTCGTCCTCCGTAAATCAAGTTATCTTTGGTCATGAAGTACTTTTTGCTGTTGGGGCTGCTGCTTTTAGCAGGTACGTTTCAGTTTGCCACGCCGCAACGCCCCTGAAATACCGGTGTTTTAACCTAATTAATTCGCGTCTCGTTCTTGTTCGAAAGGCGTGGGTCAAATTGCAGCTAGTGAAGATGAATCCACCACAGAGACTATCGACTTGGATCTGGGTTCCTTTAAGGAGGGTTCCCGAACCGGTAGGTAGACACGCCCACCGCGATTTGCGCGAATTTTGAGGGTACACGTCAGCGTTAAGAAGTCGCCAAATCTGAACGCCCCCTTATTTCTCCCCAACTTTAGACGCTGAAACACTGAAGCGCGAAGAGGAGGCCATCCAACTGGACGGCTTAAACGTGGCGCAACTAAAGGAAATTCGTGAAAAGGTGGGTTCATATAAGGCCACGCATAAAGTACACGTATGATCAGTGTTTCCTTTGTTTCTTTTTTTTTCTGCAGGCAGAGAAGTTCACTTTCCAAACGGAGGTCAACCGCATGATGAAGCTAATCATCAACTCGCTTTATCGCAACAAAGAGATTTTCCTACGCGAACTGATTTCCAACGCCTCTGATGCTATTGACAAGATCCGTCTGTTGGCCCTTTCGAACAGTAAAGAGCTGGAGAGCAATCCTGAGCTTCACATCCGCATCAAAGCCGACAAGGAGAATAAGGCGCTGCACATCATGGACTCCGGTATCGGTATGACCCACCAAGATCTGATCAACAACCTGGGCACAATAGCCAAGTCGGGCACTGCCGATTTCCTGGCCAAGATGCAGGATCCTAGCAAGTCGGAGGGGCTGGACATGAACGATATGATCGGACAGTTTGGTGTGGGCTTCTACTCTGCCTTCCTTGTCGCTGATCGTGTGGTAGTGACCACCAAGCACAACGACGACAAGCAGTACATTTGGGAGTCGGATGCCAACAGCTTTAGTATCACCGAGGACCCACGTGGCGATACCCTGAAGCGTGGATCTGTCATTTCGCTCTACCTAAAGGAGGAGGCCCAGGACTTCCTGGAGGAGGACACTGTCCGCGAGCTTATCCGCAAGTATTCGCAGTTCATCAACTTCCCCATTCGTATGTGGTCTAGCAAGACTGTCGAAGAGGAGGTGCCCGTCGAGGAGGAGGCCAAACCTGAGAAGAGCGAGGATGACGTGGAGGATGAGGACGCCAAGGTCGAGGAGGCCGACGACGAGAAGCCCAAGACCAAGAAGGTGTCGAAAACCACCTGGGATTGGACCTTGATCAACGACAGCAAACCCATCTGGACCCGCAAGCCCGCAGAAGTGACCGAGGACGAGTATACCAGCTTCTACAAGAGCCTGACTAAGGATTCCAGTGAGCCTCTGACTCAGACGCACTTCATCGCCGAGGGCGAGGTAACCTTCAAGAGTTTGCTCTACGTGCCCAAGGTGCAGCCCTCAGAGTCCTTTAACCGCTACGGAACCAAGTCGGACAACATCAAGCTGTACGTGCGTCGCGTCTTCATCACCGATGAGTTTAACGACATGATGCCCAACTATCTGAGCTTTATCCGCGGCGTGGTTGACTCCGATGATCTGCCGCTGAACGTTTCGCGCGAGACCCTGCAGCAGCACAAGCTTATCAAAGTGATTAAGAAGAAGCTGGTTCGAAAGGTTCTCGACATGCTTAAGAAAATCGACAAGGAGGCCTACGAAAAGTTCTGGAAGGAGTTCTCCACCAAGTAAGTGTTGCCTGCCGTCGTACAAATCAATATCAAATCGGTTTTTTTTTTATTATTAAGGGTATTTATTTTTTCTGGTTCAATTTGATAAGAATTTCCGCAGAATCCACGCAAGATTATCATAAGAACAATAGTGACGTGTTTTATTATTTGACCATTAATTGATAAGAATTCATTATTCCAAAAACTCGGAATTCTTGAAAAAGCTTAATTCTCTCTCGCGTTTCTTGCAGAATATATTTTTTGAAACTACCCAATTAATTTTGTATGGCTTAGCAAAACACAGATTTTATTTTAATTATAAACTTAACTAATTATATTTATTTCCTGCAGCATCAAATTGGGCGTGATGGAGGACCCCAGCAACCGATCGCGTCTTGCCAAGTTGCTCCGTTTCCAGACCTCCAACGGCAAGGGTGTAACCTCGCTGGCTGAGTACAAGGAGCGCATGAAAGCAAAGCAGGAACACATCTACTACATCGCCGGTGCCAACCGCGCTGAGGTCGAGAAATCGCCCTTCGTGGAGCGCCTGTTGTCTAAGGGCTACGAGGTTCTCTATCTGGTGGAGGCCGTCGACGAGTACTGCATCTCCGCCCTGCCCGAATTCGATGGCAAGAAGTTCCAGAACGTGGCCAAGGAGGGATTCCAACTGAACGAGTCCGAAAAGAGCAAGAAGAACTTTGAGTCGCTGAAGAGCACCTTCGAGCCGTTGGTTAAGTGGCTGAACGATGTGGCTCTCAAGGATCAGATCTCAAAGGCCCAGGTGTCCGAGCGTCTGAGCAACTCCCCGTGCGCCCTCGTAGCCGGCGTCTTTGGCTGGACCGGCAACATGGAACGCCTGGCAATGTCCAATGCCCACCAGAAATCTGATGATCCCCAGCGCACATATTACCTGAATCAGAAAAAGACGCTCGAGATCAACCCCCGGCATCCTCTGATGCGCGAGCTGCTGCGCCGCGTGGAGGCCGACGAAGCCGATGACACTGCTAAGGACATGGCTGTAATGATGTTCCGCACCGCCACCCTGCGGTCGGGCTACATGCTCCAGGAGACGTCCCAATTCGCCGACAGTATTGAACAAATGATGCGCCAGACTTTGGGAGTCTCCCAGGACGAGCAGGTCGAGTTGGACGACAACGAGGAAGACGACGCCGAGGAAAGCGCTTCCGAAAGCCAGGAGAATGCAAACGCCGACGAAGAGGATGAGGATCAGCAGCACGACGAGCTGTAAAAGAATCACACATCGTTCACATAGATTGTACATAAGAGTGTGGAGGACAGACTGAGTTTCAAACAACCACCTGCCGGGCGTTAAATCAACATTATTTCCCAGCACGTTTCTAGATTCTAAGTAAAGCAATTTCGTAATCCTTAGCCCACGTTGTCGTCACCGCCGGTCGCCCAGAGAGCACTCCATTACACCGCAACACACTCAACATTCGGTCGCTCAAGCGTTTTCTTTTTCGAAAGCAATTGAACTATGTATTTATAAAATGTAATGCCTAGAACAGAATAGATTCCAATGAAAATAAAAAACAAATGAATTAAACTAATGGTCACTCCGAATCGTTTTATTTTGGCAGAATTTTGTCTATCGTATAAATATGCTATGATTAATACTCTTATATGCAAAAGAAGAATCAATCAGTCATCAAGGTCGGAACTTAAGGGATCATCGTTCAAGGCCTTCAGATATGTGTTGTACTTCATTTGGTCGCGGATTTGCTGCACCGCCTCCGAATGTGATAATTTGTAAGTGTCCATAAAAAGGCGGACTATCCATAGCGGAAGCAGTCCGTTTAAAAGCAGCGTAGTATGGTTCTGATAAGAAATCAGACGTTTAAAAATATATGATTTGAAAAAACCCCTGACTTACGCTTCGAAAGCTGTAAAATTCCCCTAGTTTTTTGAGCATCTTTTCATGAATATTCTTGTTAAGAATGTCTAAGACGTCAACGTGAGCAATGTTCATGTAACAATTGGTGCGCGGTTTAAGCTTCCGTTCCTTGAACAGTTTGTCGAAATCGGAGCGATAGATTTCGAAAGTGTTCAGGACATCTGCTTCGCCCATTTTATCCAAGAGTCTGAGTCAAAAGACAACCATAAAACTGGAGATTAAAGGCAATTTCTCTACGATTTATTTCCATCTGGTCGCATCACTTACAGAATCTTAACTTCCCGCGGCTTGGGCATGTCCAGCATGCTATCCAACCGCTGCAGGGCATCGAAGCGGGCTCCGTCCATCTGTTCCACCTTCATCGGTTTTTCTGGAGATGTGGCTGGACGTTGAACCTTGGGCTTGAGAACTTTGCCTTTGCCAGCCTTAGCCCCCCTAAAGAAGCCGAAAAATAAATTTAATCAGTATGCAGCTTAAACTCTAAGGCGTACCCTAAGATGTAGTTTTCAAAACGACTTGGACGAATGGGGGATCGTCCAGAACGGCGGGCTGGCTTAGACTCAACAGAGCTGGCTCGGGAATTTCTGTGAATGCTGTAGAGTTCTAGGTAAGCTCCTCACGATAAATGACGGAATTATTTACCTTTGAACTGGACTCTGCGATTTCTTGATGGGCTTTCCTTGTCGGGAGGAACTTGCACTGCTCGAATACTTCTCCTTCTCGCCACCCTGAGAAATGGATCTGCGTTCGCGCTTTATTTTGGCTGGTGGTTGGCTGTCTACAGTCAAGTTGTCTTCTTCGTCGTCGGCATCTATGTGCTTGGGTTTGGATTGTACGAGTTTTTCAGGCTGACTAAAGAATTTTTTTTAAATTGTTAGTTATGCTGGGTCATTTACAATGATTACAAGTAAAATAACTTAAAAATTGCAAATTATGTGTATTCCTTATTGGATTACAAAAGTAATGCAAATCATAAAAATAAGTTATGGTTCTCAAATTGAAAACAAATAAGCAATATAAAGTTGTTTAAGGTCTACAAAAGTACAAGGATATATTGCTAGGGGTATCCTACCTAGCTTTTGGCTTGATTCCCGAAGTGACTGTTTTTCCCTTGCGCCCAGAGCCGTTGGCTTCTGCCTCCGTGGCAAGTTTCCGCTTCGTGGTGTGGACGCCCACGATTGTGGTGTCCTCATGGGATATGTACTGCAGCTGGATGTCCAGATTGAGATCCTTGGAGGTCAGGCCCGATCCGTCCAGTAGGGTAACCGTGGCAGGATGCGGTGTATCGCTGGCCTGGACCCGGACATTAATGTGATCGATTATGAGCTCGGTGTGCAGCTTGTGGGCATCCTGCCACTGACCGAGATTCTCCAACAGAAGCCACAGACCACTTTCGATTCTACTCCAGCGGTCCGCCGTCATCCAGTGAAAGACATTCTGCGGTTCCCGCTTAAAATGGGTCACAGGTGTCGGCAGAACTTTGACGCTGCAGGCGATGCGGTGGTTTTTGTACTAAAACGGTAGTATGATAAGATCACAGCTGCTTGCAATGTTCAATGGTCAATACTTGATATATTTGGGAAACAAGTTGGCAATCACCAATGGCGGAAAATGACATTTTTACAAAATTACACTGCGTCCTGATGTGACCGTAGCCTTTGAACGGCGCAACAACAATAAGAATCTGTGGCATATTTGGTCACACTCTTAGACTTATCGATAGATCTTTTGATTGGTAGTAACGGAAATTATTGTCTAAACTCCAAAAACACAGCTTTGGAACATTTTTCTATAACGCATTGAAAACTTACCAAAATCGATCTCCTTCAAAAAGATAATTTTAAAAATAGTTTTATTATGACATTGAATACAGCATTGAATACCGCATAAGAATTAAAAAATTAATGCGCTCGCGAAGTGCAGTACTTATTTATGCAAATAAAATGTAAAAGAGCTGTAAAAGAAAATTATGTTGTTTAACCAGTTACCTGTTTTATTATTATTTATAATCGCTGGCAAATCAAGATATTTAAAAATATAAAACTGATAATTGAAACAGAAATAAACTATAAATCATATATTCAAAAAATCTTTTGTTTTCAATCTAAATGAATGAGTTGCTAATCAATGAAGCTCTTGCAACTTAGAAATCGTTATCACCCATAGCGTGTGGCATAGGTCAAGTCTTGGCAATATATACAATTACACATGACAACAAAATCGAATTACTTTTTTTTTTTTTTTAATTTTCACGTTGTTTATCCTGAAAGGCACTACTTTTTGAAACTCCTTCCCATATTGACACCATAGTATCGTGGTACTCCACCGCTTTATCTGTAATCACGTTTTCCGACCCGTTCTGGGACTCAATCTCAACACTTCTGATCATTCACTTTAAATAATCAATGAAGCTAAAGCTTTTTAGATATAAACTTTATTTTCGGTCTTTACTAAGGCAGTTAGATAAAATAGTCTGAGTTCCAAATCTGCAAACTGCCAAAACAATCAAAACAATAATTTTGGTGATATTTTCGCATATAGCTGAGAAACTTGTTTTCGATGTCAGAGTCCATGCCCATTCGTCATATTGATTTGATCGGTATTTTTAATTGAAATTATAATTCCCTCTAAAAACAAAATTATAAATAAATAAATAAAGGTATCCTAATTCTTTTTAATAATGCCACTATATTTTTGGAAAAAATATTTGTCGTCTAGTGCTTATCGCCGATCTGGATGCGAATAAAGCCGTGTCCGGATCTCAGAGACTCTGATTAGATTTTTTAGTTCTCGATTGCGTTCTGAATAGTATAGTCGCGTTTTTTCCGTTGCTTTTAAATAATCCGACTCGATCAATGAATGATTAGCCGCACTACTTGAATATACATATTTTAGAAACAGAGTGCGTGCCCTATGAATCAGGGCACCATGTTTTCTATCTCAAAGTACTTTCGATTAGCCTGGATCGCGGGACTTACTTACATTCTGATTTGTGGATTTCCATTTGAGTGTGAGGCCAGAAGTGTTGATAATGAGCCCCAGGACGACTCGGAGCGTGAAAACACGATTACAGATGAGACGGTGGAGTACCTTCAATCCTATGGCGCCAAAATGAAGTCCTATATGAACTTCAGCGTCGATCCGTGTGACGATTTCTACGAGTACTCGTGCGGGAACTGGAAGAACGTGATAAAACCGCGGCTATCCAGCGATAGGCGGAGTAATCTTTTGGACATTATGTACACATTGGCGGAAGTGACGGATCAGATTTTGACCAGGACAGAAATGGCAGAGGCTTTAAACGTGTCCGAGGAAGTGGCGATTGCGCAACGCTTTTATAACGCCTGCCTAGCGGCAGACGTCAGTCCTCTACCAGCTGCCGACCCCGCTTATCTTGCGCTTATCAGGTCGATCGGTGGCTTTCCCGCCGTGGACGGGGATGCATGGAACGCGTCCAGCTTCAGTTGGTTCAACATGAGCGCTCACCTCACCAACTACGGGGCCAGCGGACTGATCAACGAAGATGAAGTGCCACACTTTCCTTTCGAACCGTACTTCAAACTGCCGGAGTTAGGCTTCGACCACGTCGTTCACACGGACATAATCGCCAACTCCAGTTCCCGGGCCTACAAGATGAACGAGAAACGCATGCGAGGCTACCTTAAGTCCTACAATCTCACAGAGGAGAAAGCCACCGCCGTGGTCACCGGCGTCTTTGACTTTTGGCGCGATGCGCTGGCTGTTGAGGACAAATTTAATAGCAGTGAAGAGAGCTGCATTCTTCTCGACTCATTGCATAGCGTCCCAGCTTTTGGGCAGTGGAGGAGCTATTACGAAATCGCCTGGAATGGCGTGGACTTCCACAATGGTACCGATAGTAGTGAATACTGCGACTTTTACTACACGGAGCTCGACAAGGTGTGCGCTAAGCACCAGGAAGCTGTAGCCAACTACCTGTCCATGGCGCTTCTCTACCGCATGGATGCCAAAGTAAAGGACGTCCAAGACCAAAAGGAATATTGCCAGCTGACCGTCCTAGGGTCGATGGCCCATCTCATCAACAAGCTCTACATGGCTGTAAGAAAATACCATCATTACGGCATTTTTAATCATTTTAAAATAAGATAATATCCTTTAAGCATTATTTTAAACCATCACACCAAACAGACAGACGGATAAACTATATAGTTACACCACGACTTACTTTATACCTTACCATTTGCTTCGCAGAAGCATTTCGACGAGGAAACACATTCCGAGATCTCTGCGATGATCAAGAAGCTGCGCGAATCTTTTCGCCAGATGTTGGAGCACGCCGATTGGCTAGACACGGAAACGCGTCGAGAGGCGCTGCTAAAGGAGGCCAGCATCACTCACCAAATTGGCAGCTACAAGGACGAAGAACATTCCAATCTGCTGATCCGTCAGTACAGAAATCTATCCGTGGTGGACGACAGTTATCCTCAGAGCCTAATTAACCTTCGGAGGTTGAGCATCTCTCTGCGACGCTACAATGGTCTTCATTTCGATGAGATTGCCACGGACACCAAACCGCTGGTGCTGTTACTTGGGATGCAGGTGAATGCCTTCTACTACAACCGAGACAACTCAATGTACGTAATGGCTGGGATACTTCATCCGCCTGCGTATCACCGCTCGTGGCCTGACTCCCTAAAGTTTGGCACACTGGGCTACCTGATAGGTCACGAGGTGACCCACGGATTCGATACTGTGGGCGCCACCCATGACAGTGATGGTCAGTCTCGTAACTGGTGGTCCAAGAAATCGGAGGCGGTCTTTAAGGAACGGTCTAAGTGTTTTGTGGACCACTACAGCACTTACTTGATACCGGAGATCAATCGCAAGATCAACGGCAACGAGACCAAAGATGAGAACATAGCTGACTCTGGTGGACTAAGGGAAGCCCTTGCAGCATATCGGAGCCACATAAAGCAGCTTCAAAAGGGCGGCGAGGACAATGAGACGACGGCTCCTCGAAGTGATCAGATGCCGGGCCTTGATCTATCGCCGGAACAGCTCTTCTTTCTCGGGTTCGCACAGCTTTGGTGTGCCTCCTACAAGGAGGAGCATTTTTGGCATGAACTGAATAAGGAGCACACCATCGACAAGTACCGGGTCCTTGGAGCCGTTACCAACAGTGAGGACTTTGCCGAGATATACAACTGCAAACTGGGTAGTGCCATGCATCCAAAGAGTAACACTTGTCGCGTGTGGTAATGTTATAATGTTATATATATGTACTTACATACCGAAAAATGTGTAATAAAAAGGATGAATATAAAAAGAGATTATATGTTTTCAAGTTTTTCTTTTGTTTTTAAAGTCATAATAACCGAAGTAAAATCAGTATATAGCTTGTTTGTTTTAAGTTTAAACTATTTATTCCTAGGGCGAATTTAGTGAGCAACGTGTTCGGAAGATTTAAAGGCATTGTGTCCTTGATAATTCTCGACCAGCAGGGATTTATATCGCCGCAGGTGGACACTAAGTCCTTCCTGACGTTCGCTGGCGGAAAGTATTGAGACGCGTGCTACGACAAGGTGAGATGGATTGGACTGACTAAAGCCCCTGATAACATCGATGTCATCGCCGATTTCGAGCTGCAAACGGTGTCTTATATAAAACGATATCTATCAGTTTATGGCGTTCTTACTTGAGCACTCTTCTTGGGCAGCTTTTTTCCATTGACGCGTATCTTGCTCTCATAGAAATTTAGTTCCACTTTGCTGAGGAAGACATTAATGATGATTATTAGACATCCCTTATGGTTTCCATGGAATACTTACTTTCTGGCCATGCCCAGACCAGCTTTGAGTAGAAGATCAGCCCGCAGCGAGTTTACTTTAGTTTTGATCACCTTGGAGTCCCTTTCGTCCTTGAAGTCCTCATCGGCCTCATCGTCGCTATCAAAATCTTCCGGCGCTTGCGAAGATTTCTTATCATATTTCAGTGCAATGATGTTAGTGTGCAACGGGGCATAAAGTCTCGAACTGGCTGGTATTTTGTGAAGACTGCAGACAGCGACTGGAGTTCTTAGGCATCTTCCTAGTTTTGATAATTGACGTAAACTCCGGAGCATGTTTTGTGTGCGGTGGTCTTAAAAATTACGATAACAAACCGACTAATATAACCTAAAAATTACAGCTGATGCGGCCGAGTTGCCAACCACCCCTATGATTTGCTGGTTAGCTGCTTTTGCTTTTTGCTTCGCCTTTTTTTTGGTTTTTTGTCGGGATTAGGTCGTATTTGGTGGACAGTAAGGGGGCGATAATTTTGCAAGTCTATAGGCAGAAATTCATCTTCCTCTGGAACCACTTCCATTGGCTCTGGGCCGGGGGATTTCTCCTTTTCCACTGGGTTTTGCCTGAGGTCTACCTCTTTACTTTTGCCTTTCATGGCCAAATTACTAAGAGCTTTGCCTAAATTTTGGGTCTCCACCTGTTCATCTACCCGGTCAATCTTATAAGAGGGCTTATCCGAGGAGAAGGAAACGAAGTCATCTCCCCAGTCCTTTTTTTCCGCAGGAGCGGGAACGGTCAGCTTCTTTTCCTCTTGAATTGGAGGGATTAATAATGTTTTTTTCTTGGACTTCTTGTAGACTATAGGGACTCTTTTCTTAATAGGCGGAGGTGTTCTATTTCGGGAAGTAACCCACTGCATTAAATCGTTACTTATAGCTCCCAAATCCAAAGGTAATGCCAGGGAAATTGCTCTTACTCCAAAAAGTTCCTGAGTAAGTTCCTCCAGTTTAGATTGTGCGTAGATAGGAGCTGTGGGCACCTTTGCGGATGCACTGGTGGTTATTAAGCGAATGAGGTGTGTTGGACGTAGGCTCGAAGAAACCAGTAAGCATGAGAAACGCTGGGAATTTATGGCTCTCAGGGAGCTCTCCAGGCCAAGATGTATGCCAAACCGAGAGGCAAAGGATTTGGCTGTTTTTTCTTTGCTTATTATGGCCTTTTGGAAGATCTGCTTAAACTCTTTAACTTCCTCGTCAGACAAAACAGGGCTAAAAATTAACAAAATCACTTGTTGATTGAGTTTTTATAATGTCTCGGCTGTTTTACCTGTATTGTTTATAGGGATTGGCCAAAATTGTGCGTAATTTGGGCAGTACCTTTTTCTTTCCTTTAATTTCCTTTTGTTTTATGCTGGCCAAACTCATTTTTCTAATATTATATTTTTTATATTAGCATAGATATACAATTTTCGGAACTTTATTTTGTCTCTCAAAATAACAACAGTGTTGGTTTATGCTGAAAGAACCATGTGTTGGGCCATCGCGGCAGCGTTGCCAACTACCGAGACAAACAATACTAAAACTAAATTTTAAATTTAAAACGACTGTTTTTATTGAAATCAAAATGTTCTTTATTTTCATAAAACCTTAGTACCAGTAAAGTTCAGGTTCTGTGTCTGAGGTATATTTATATTTTTTTGGTCTTTGTCTTACAGGCTCTTCCACGAAATTCAACCGCCTTGGAGTTGTATTTTCTTCTTGAGTTCTACTGAACTCAGTTGTTGTTAAATTTAGCCAAGACGGTGTGCTTGTAGTAATACTATCCACTTCTGTGCTGTTAATCACTGTGTCTAGGTAGGAAGTTGTTGTTTCCAAACCCGGAGTCGTGGCAATAATATCCAGTACTGATGTTGAGGTTTCCGGGCTTTCGGTGGTAGATAAAGGACCCTCCGTAGAAAAGTCTGTGGTAGTTTCTAATGATTCCGTAAAGGTTTCATATGCTTCAGTTGTACTAAACAGCTCTGGGCTGAATGTTGTAAAGAGATCTCCACTGATATTAGTTACAATTTTTTCTGTGGTATTTCCCAATGATTCCGTGGAAGATTTTAATGTTTCAGTTGTACTAGGTAACTCAGGTGAATATGTTGTTGATTCAGGAAAATCGATCCTTGTTAAATTTGTTTCTGTTTCCGTAGAGGTTTCTAACGATTCAGTTGTATTGATTATCTCCGGACTGGATGTGGTAGAAATTGTTTCCGGTAATTCTATGTTAGCTGAATTTTCTCGTGTTGTAGTTTCTAATGATTCCGTAGAAATTTCATATGTTTCAGTTGTGGAGGTTTCTGGTGCTTCAGTTGATACTGTAGAGAAATCTTCTATAATAGTTGTTAATTCTAACATTTCAGTTGTACTGAATATCTCCGGACTGGTTGTTGTAGATATTGTTTCCGGAAATTCGGTGATAGTTGAAATTTCTCGTGTGGTAGTTTCTAATGGTTCTGTAGAAATTTCATATGTTTCAGCTGTAGAGGTATCTGGTGCCTCAGTTGATACTGTAGAGAAATCTTTAATAATAGTTGTTGATTCTAACGTTTCAGTTGTACTAAATATCTCCGGAATAGATGATGTAGATGTTGTTTCCGGAAATTGGATGTTAGTTGAACTTTCTCCTGTGGTAGTTTCTAATGGTTCTGTAGAAATTTCATATGTTTCAGTTGTAGAGGTATCTGGTGAATCAGTTGATACTGTAGAGAAATCTTCAATAATAGTTGTTGATTCTATTTTTTCAGTTGTACTAAATATCTCCGGAATAGATGTTGTAGATGTTGTTTCCGGAAATCCGATGTTAGTTGAAATTTCTCCTGTGGTAGTTTCTAACGATCCCGTAGAAATTTCATACGTTTCAGTTGTAGTGGTTTCTGGTGCTTCAGTTGTGCTTAATGCTGTAGAGACATCTTCAATATTAGTTGTTGATTCCGGAAGTTCTGTACTAGTCGGCTCAGAAGTAACCAGAAATGGGTTTGTTGTCGAAGATTCAGGCTCCGATGTTGTCGTATCCTCAATGAAATTTTTGCTAGTCGTTGTGGTGGAGATTTCCTCGGGCTCGGATGTTGTTGTCTTATCGGGGGAGGCTGTAGATTCTACACTACTTGCCAAGGTGGTTGTACTGAAGATCTCCTCGGTGAAAGAAGTCGTTGTCTCCACCGGAGAGTATGTCGATTCTGCATTCGTTGAAGTCGTGGTTGTCTCCCAGCTATTTGCATCAAATGTATTGCTAAAATTAACAACTTGCGGCTTAAAAGGCTCGTAGATCTTTGCTTTATATGGCTTCTGCTTTATTATGTATTCCTTGGCAATGTTTATCCAGTCGTCACGATCAAGAATGTGGTTTAAATTTGTACTTGAAGTCACAAAATGTGTCATCAAGAGTAGCAAACACAATTTCTGCATAATGATGGTGATGCCTTCGGTTGACAATTCTTACTAATTACTTTTGGCAACTGCAGTGCAATATAAACCTAATCCCTGTACCTACATTTCGTTTTACAACTACCTGCCTTTTGGGAAAACGTTAATTACTCTTAATGATCTGGGGAATTTTAAAAAGTGCCGCCAGGGCTGCAAGCGTCCAAACTTTTGTGTTGGCAATGCCTTAAATAACGCCGGTAGTGAAACAGCTGTTTACTTTTTTGCGGCAAGAAGAAGAATAGCGTGTTTGCAATCCGCATTTTTGTTAAAAACTTGTAAAATCGTTGTTTTCGGTGTTTTTATAAGTTTTTGTAAAGGAAATAATATCCAGAAAGTCAGAAATCCTTTTTGAAAATAAAGGATATTCTTTAAAAGTACTGAAGTAAGAATTTAAACTGACCGCAACTTTTGCAGACTGTTGAGACGCCTCAGGCATGACTTGAATGAAAATAAAAAAGACATTTTATTTTAGCACCTACCATGGATTCCGATTTGTACGACGAGTTTGGAAATTATATTGGCCCCGATTTGGACAGCGATGAAGATGATGACCAGAGTATTTACGGCCAACCCGACGTGCAGGATGATCCAGAGGTATCCTTATGCAAAAGAGCCATAAAATGAATTTATAACCATTTACCTTTAATTAAAAGGATCCTATGGATGAGGACGAAGTCGAGCCACAGGAGGACGAGGACAAGGAGGTGACCGCCGTGGTGCTGCACGAAGATAAGCGGTACTATCCCTCAGCCGTTGAGGTTTACGGACCGGATGTAGAGACCATTGTCCAGGAGGAGGACGCCCAGCCTCTCGACAAGCCGCTTATCGAGCCGGTGAAGAAACTCAAATTTCAAATTAAGGAGCAGGACATGCAGGAGACCACCTACGACATGGAGTTTATGGCCGATCTTATGGACACACCACCGCTGATTCGCAACGTGGCGTTAGTCGGTCACCTGCACCACGGCAAAACAACCTTCGTCGACTGCCTCATCCGGCAGACGCATCCGCAGTTCGAGAACATGGAGGAACGCCAGCTGCGTTATACGGACACGCTGTTTACAGAGCAGGAGCGCGGATGCAGCATCAAGGCAACTCCGGTGACTTTGGTTCTGCAGGATGTCAAGCAGAAGAGCTACTTGCTCAACATCTTCGACACCCCGGGCCATGTCAACTTCTCGGACGAGGCCACTGCCGCCATGCGAATGTCCGACGGTGTGGTTCTGTTCATCGATGCCGCCGAGGGCGTCATGTTGAACACGGAGCGATTGCTTAAACACGCGGTGCAGGAGCGCCAGGCCATCACCGTGTGCATAAACAAGGTGAATATTTTTTTTTGGATCCCTAAAACTTGCTTAAGTTTTTATTTTAAATTGCAGATTGATCGCCTTATTCTGGAGCTAAAGCTGCCGCCGCAGGACGCCTATTTTAAGCTGAAACACATTGTGGAAGAGGTCAATGGGCTACTGAGGTAAGCAATGGAATTTCTCTAAATCCTTTTTTTTAAGCGCAGAACGGCATAGACTCATTATGTCTATTTTATTCTTACAGCACGTATGGCGCTGCAGATGATAATCTGATTGTTTCGCCTATTTTGGGCAACGTCTGCTTTGCCAGTTCGTTGTACGGCTTTTGTTTTACACTAAAATCTTTTGCCAAGCTTTATGCGGACACATATGAGGGGGTGGCTTACCTGGATTTTGCCAAGCGTCTTTGGGGCGACATGTACTTCAACAGTAAGACGTAAGTTGCACACAAAATACCAAATACTATTTGCCCTACTCATTAAGTATATATCAAATAATAGGCGAAAATTCTCAAAGAAACAACCGCATAATTCCGCACAACGTAGTTTTGTGGAGTTCATCTTGGAGCCCATGTACAAGTTGATTGCCCAAGTTGTGGGTGATGTGGACACAACTTTGTCGGACACTCTCGCAGAGTTAAATGTACGAGTCTCGAAGGAGGAGATGAAGTCCAATATACGACCTCTGCTGCGACTTGTCTGCAATCGTTTCATGGGCGACTGCAGCGGTTTTGTGGACATGTGTGTGGAGCACATTAAATCGCCCTTGGAAAACGCTAAACGAAAGGTGGATCATATTTACACTGGACCCAAAGAAGGTGACATCTACCGCGATATGATATCGTGCAACCAGTATGGCACTTTGATGGTACACAGCTCCAAGATGTATCCCAACGACGATTGTACTTTCTTCCAAGTGCTAGCGAGGATCGTATCGGGCACTCTACATGCTGGCCAGGAGGTGCGTGTCTTGGGAGAGAACTACACTTTGCAGGATGAGGAGGATTCCCGCATACTGCAAGTGGGACGCCTGTGGGTGTTTGAGTCGCGTTATAAAGTCGAGCTTAATCGGGTTCCAGCTGGAAACTGGGTCCTGATCGAAGGCATTGATCAGTGCATCGTTAAAACCTCCACCATTGTCGACATAAATGTCCCGGAGGACCTCTACATATTCCGGCCCCTCAAGTTCAACACGCAGAGCATTATCAAGATCGCTGTAGAGCCCGTAAATCCTTCCGAGCTGCCAAAAATGTTGGACGGTTTGCGCAAGGTGAACAAATCATATCCTCTCCTCTCGACGAGAGTCGAGGAATCGGGCGAGCATGTTATATTGGGCACTGGCGAGCTGTACTTGGATTGCGTAATGCACGATTTGCGAAAGATGTACTCGGAGATCGACATAAAAGTGGCGGATCCGGTGGTGGCTTTTTGTGAAACAGTTGTGGAGACAAGTTCGCTGAAATGTTTTGCTGAAACTCCGAACAAAAAAAACAAGATTACCATGATTTCGGAACCATTGGAGAAAGGCCTGGCCGAGGACATTGAAAACGGAACCGTCTGCATAAACTGGAATAAGAAACGGATCGGAGAGTTCTTCCAGGTCAACTACGATTGGGATTTGCTGGCGGCGCGTTCCATTTGGGCCTTCGGTCCCGACTCGACCGGTCCGAACATCCTCGTGGACGACACTCTGCCATCGGAAGTGGACAAAAACCTGTTGACGGCGGTGAAGGATTCTATTGTGCAGGGCTTTCAGTGGGGCACAAGGGAAGGACCGCTTTGTGAGGAGCCCATTCGGAATGTTAAGTTCAAGATACTCGATGGAGTGATCGCCACCGAGGCGTTGCATCGCGGTGGCGGCCAGATCATTCCCACAGCCCGGCGAGTGGCCTACTCTGCATTCTTAATGGCTACTCCGCGTCTGATGGAACCGTACTTGTTTGTCGAGGTGCAGGCGCCTGCCGATTGTGTATCTGCTGTTTATACTGTGCTGGCTAGACGCAGGTAATTAGTGTGTTCTTTCTCTGATAATGGATGGCTTATTTTACTTACCCCTTTACAGAGGACACGTAACGCAAGATGCTCCCGTTTCTGGGTCCCCCATTTACACGATCAAAGCATTCATACCCGCCATCGATTCGTTTGGTTTCGAGACAGATCTGCGCACACACACCCAAGGACAGGCCTTCTGTCTCTCGGTGTTCCATCACTGGCAGATCGTGCCCGGCGATCCTCTGGACAAAAGCATTATTATTCGGCCACTGGAGCCGCAGCAGGCGTCCCACTTGGCCCGAGAGTTCATGATCAAGACTCGCCGCAGGAAGGGTCTCTCCGAGGACGTGTCCATAAACAAGTTCTTCGACGACCCCATGTTGCTGGAACTGGCGCGCCAAGATGTGCTGGTCAACTATCCCCTGTAGGCTCAATCACCAGAGTGAAACCAATAAAACTTTTACTATATTTACTAAATATTTATTTGAAGCCTGTCTTGGCCAAATAATTTACAAAATAGTATACAGAAACAGCTACAGGTGTGTTGGTGGCTAGGTCCCTACTCGGCATTGCCGTTCTGGAGGACCTCGGACTCGTAGCCTTCTTGTTCGGCCTGCTCGTCATCAAACTCCACTTCGTCGTCGGCTGTGGCCTCCTGCAAAACGAAAGGAATTGTATAAGCATAACCTCCACTAAAAAGTTAACGGATAAATATGGTTACGCACCTGATACTGCTGGTACTCGGATATCAGATCGTTCATGTTGCTCTCGGCCTCGGTGAACTCCATCTCGTCCATGCCCTCGCCGGTGTACCAGTGCAGGAAAGCCTTGCGCCGGAACATGGCGGTGAACTGCTCCGAGATGCGCTTGAAGATCTCCTGGATGGCCGTCGAGTTGCCGATGAAGGTGGCGGACATCTTGAGGCCCCTCGGTGGGATGTCGCACACGGCCACCTTGACGTTGTTGGGAATCCACTCGACGAAGTAGCTGCTGTTCTTGCTCTGCACGTTGAGCATCTGGGTGTCCACCTCCTTCATGGACATTGGTCCTGTTAATTATTGAGTGGGGGCGTGTTAAAAAAATGCCTCTAGTCGGAGCAGGAAACTTCCGGTGCTCGCATTTACATCAAAAGCCAAGTTCGCTTTGATGCGCCAGCGCAATCCCCAAATCCCTGAATATGAAATACTAAACGGCTTCTAAGTCCTGGCCGCGCACCTTGCCACCTGCGATGGGATTTCCGAGATGAGACACAAACAGTCCCAGGAGGTAACTAAAAAAGTTGTTTAAATTCCTCCACGCTGGCATTTTTCCCGCACATTTTTGTGATTAATTATTTTGCAAGTATTTCTGGCAGTCAGTCGGAGACGCGAGCGAGTCCTGAGTCTGAGATGGGGGAATTGGAGCTGGTTAGGAAGTGCGGGCAGTGTAGGAGTGCAGCCCGAGTCACGTTCGGCATGATTAGTTGAGCCGGGGGCCGTGTCAGGCGGCGGTCGCAATTCCCCAATGGATCTTGAAAGTAAATTTCTAATTACGCGCGTTTTGCGAGTCATCAGTCAAAAGCAAGGGCAAAAGCGGCGCACACAAGGAATAGCAAATGAAATATTATGCGGCATACTTTTGGGCGCCGCATCGCAGTTTATTAATTTAAAAATTAGCGCGAAAAAATTCAGGCAACCTTTTTCTGAAGGGGCGTGGAGGACTAACAAATTTGCGCTACGTGCGCGTTGACGGATTGCAGCCTTTTTAGCCGCCAGCCAGCGGGCATTAATCATTTTTAGTGGCCCCCATAAGTAGGCCCAGTGCTCGGCTTTTGGCTAATAAAATCGTCGCTAAAGCCAAGCCCCAGGAGTCCAAAAGGTGCGAGCCAGGGTCGTAGTTGGATAATATTTTCGAAAGGGGCGTTCAAATAATTTCGATTAGGGATTATAGAGGTAAATACAAAATTATCTATAGCTTGTTGTATGCCAGTTGCTGGCCGAAAAATCCCCCTTTGCTCCGCCCCTGGATACGTGACTACGTGCTTGCGGGGCTGGAAAAACGGGGGACAGGTGCGCCACCGGCTGCCCATGACAAAGTGACAAAGTTGGTCCGGATAAGCCGGTGTGGGGCTCCTGAATAAATGAGCGGATAGATGAATGGATCCCTGTGTTTTTTGGCAACGCGTGAAAGTGTTTAGGCCTTGTTGTTAAATAACTATTTTTCTTTTCCACCCCGGGGATTTGCGGACGACTCACCCCGGAAGATGCAGGCCACCGTGAGGTAGCGACCGTGTCGGGGATCGCAGGCGGTCATCATGTTCTTGGCGTCGAACATCTGCTGGGTCAGTTCCGCCACCGTGAGGGCGCGATATTGCTGGGATCCCTTGGCGGTCAGGGGCGCGAATCCGGGCATGAAGAAGTGCAGACGCGGGAAGGGCACCATATTCACCGCCAGCTTGCGGAGATCGGCGTTCAGCTGGCCGGGGAAGCGCAGGCAGGTGGTCACGCCGGACATTGTGACCTGGTTGGAGGAGGAGTCATTAAAGTTGAAATAAGAAAACTATCTTATTTAAGGGGTACTAGGAAACTCGCCTTTCCTTTTCTGTCTAATTTCTGGTTTTTATTTAAACTAATTCTACTTAAAATAATGATTGTGATTAAAAAATAGGAAAACAAAAGGCGAGCTTCTAGTTTTAAGGCTGAATTAAGAACCCCTTTTACAGAGTCAGGAAGTAGAGGGAAAGGGTTCAGTGCGTCCTGTTCTTCGTTCTTATTATCTGGGCATCTTCATCTTCATCTTTGCTCCCGAGTCCGCGGAATTTCTTGGCTACTTACGGACACCAGGTGGTTCAGATCCTCGTACGTGGGCGAGCAGAGGCGCAGGCTCTGGTAGCATATGTCATACAAGGCCTCGTTGTCGATGCAGAATGTCTCGTCGGTGTCCACGATGAGCTGGTGCAGCGACAACGTGGCGTTGTATGGCTCCACCACCACCTCGGACACCTTTCCGTTTCCGGTTATCGATTGCGGCCAAAGGAGGAGGATGGGGAGGAGGAGGGTGTTGGGTGTTGGGGAGGGACAGAACAGAGGACGCATTAGATTGATTGACCAGGGGTACTCACGGAAACCAGATGGTTCAGATCGCCGTAGGTGGGCGACGATAGCTTCAGCGTGCGGAAGCAGATGTCGTAGAGAGCCTCGTTGTCAATGCAGAAGGTCTCGTCGGTGTTCTCCACCAGCTGGTGGATGGACAGCGTGGCATTGTACGGCTCCACGACGGTGTCAGACACCTGGACGCGTTTATCGGGACGCATTAGTTGAGATGGCAGCGCGACATGCAGGAGGAGATGCGGACACAAGTTCGTTAATTAGCAATGCTTTCAGCAGACTCACAGGTTTGATATGATCACTAAATGAATGGGGTAAATGGATGGCGAGTGGGTATGAAGCGAAGTTGCTTATGAATGAATTGGAAGCTGACGTTTTCTCTAGCAGTAAGTTTTTGAGGTTTTTCAATACAGAAATACCATTCCAATCTAACAGGTAAGTCTACGCTTTTAGGCAAGGCATTAAGTGCGTTGTAAATCCTTCTTTTTCCAAGCCGCCTTGCAAACTAAGTTCAATAACAACCGAAGCCACTTCTCTGCAGGCCGTATTTTTGCTGGACAATAATCAACGATTGGCCGCACTCTGCATCTAATTCCCATTTCTTTCGACCCAATCGCATGGCTGGCAGTTGAGGCATGGACATGAAAAATGCATTCTGCCAACAGGATGCAATTTGAATGCAGTGCTAACTGAATAGCAGACCCTATTAATACGGACAGTTGTTGTGGGTGCAACCTGCAGTTGCTAATGCCATTTTGAGCCCGGAGCAGCACTCAGGCCGAGAGTTGTTGCATAAATGCAGTTGCATGTTGCACAAACATCTGCCTGCCTGACACACCCCATTCGCATACGTACGAGCACTCGCATCCAAACACGGATGGTGTGTGTTTCGAAAGCTGCAAATTGAAAATTATGTATAATCTTTGGCTTGCCCTCTATATTTGCGCAGCCAAGATGCATTGCTCGTCGGTTGCTGAAGCCGGGGATTTTAGGTGGCACGGCCACTATTAAGCATGCGACAAACTTCACTCCAGATTCGGTTTGCCGTATGCGAAGTGTGTGCACATAAATTGTGGCAATTATTTAATGGCCACAACCCTGGAGCGATAACGTGCGATGCCACGCACACACTTTAAGTCCATTGCACATGGCAAAATAATCAATGTGTTTAAAAATCGAAATAAAAAAGCCATAGTCAACTCACAGAGCCGAGGTAAATATTTTCCAAACTGCTTTTAGGTTTCTAAATGGTTATTTTGGCTTCAAAAATGCGATGGTTATGTATTAAATACTTTTGTGATGCAAAACAAAATGCAAATTAATTTTTTCCCTGTATGGCCCCACACCCAAGGCTCACAAACGTACAAACACACCTTTGTCTGCCTAGGTGGTACATGCAGTTAATACTAATGAGTTATGCCCGGGCATATGCATTTTGCATTTTGTATTTGGTATTTGTTGCCGGGCTCACTATTTGTACACAGGCCAGGACACAATATTTGCCTGCTCGGTGTTTGCGTGTGATCCTGAGTCTGGACTGCAGGATTTACGAGCATGCATTTTGATATCATTGCCTTGTCCAACAGGCAGGTGCAAATCTCAGCTGCTCCATGGCAGTGGCCCGACATCCTTCAGTTTCAGTGACAAACGGAGCGACGTGCGTTAATTAATGAACGCAATTAAAAACTTTAATCAAAGGCTCAAATATTGAACCATTTAAGCAGCCGAGCAGCCGAGGTGCTGTTTTTGTGCTTCTCGCCCCTGATTATTCTGATTATTCTGGCTGAATGCGCTGCATTTGCATAAATGCCGCTTATCAAAGCGACAAAGGCCTTACATGCCGCTGATCGGACGGGTATGAAAAACTATTAAATTATATAAACGCGCACATATTAAAACCGCTATAACGTGACAGGCATGTGTCAGGCCAGGCCGCAATAAAATGACCGCCGAAGCCAAAACATTGCGGTAAGCCGGGCAAACCCAGCACGGCGCATAAATAACAGTCGGAAACGGGGCTATATCGGGGGATATATTGGGCATTTAAAGTTAAACCCATCCGGGTCGGGAGTCGGGGTTCTGGGATCGGACTGGTTCAATAGTTGACCATTGGCGTTCAGCCGTGGCGGTAATAAATTTAACGAAGTTCGAGTGCAAAACGCAAGTGTGTGCTCCCCCTAAAAATGCCAATAAATTTATTGTGCACTCCGATATGCCAATAAGAACATTGTCAAATATTAATTTCACGCCTCACGGATTCTTGTTCGAATCTTGAAACTGCCGAGGATGTGAGCGAAACTCTCAAATTATAAATCTCAACTGGTTCGACTGTAGTTGGTATTAGTCCAAAAGGAATTGAATACTTCTGGCAATAAATTGAAAAAAATGGGG